TGTATCCACGAAAACCTAAACCCCCAAACACTAAAAAAATTAGGTAAATTCAGTAAAATTACAAAGCAATTCGAAAAACTCACAAAATTCACGTTTTCAGAAATTCATTATCTACAGAAAAGTGTAAGAACTCTAAAGTAGCTCATAAAGGACCCCATAGACGATATTGTCATCCGATTTGCACGACGTGCCCTTCAGAATGGTTTCGTTAATTTACTTACCCCATTCTTCGAATTTAAGCTTTTCAGTTGTCCTTGACGTTCTTGGTGGCTGCTCGGCTATAAACTGCCCTTGACGTTGTTGGCAGTAATTCTTCGTCGCGTTTTAAAGCACGTTTAAGAATTTCTTCTAGAATATTACCTTCTTCAATCGTTTTAAGATACACTTTTTTGCGTTTTTGCCTCGGTTTTTACTAATACACTATTAGGTAAACAAATGACACCATAGCCACAGGCCAAATTGTAGTGCAAAGCACTCGTAGTTTTGATTCATTAAGAAATTTTTATTGTCCAGCAAGTGAAAATGAAACGTTATATGTACCGCGGGGATAATTGTATATTGATACGTCGTGGACAGCGGAAGAATTTGTAATTGTTTGTATAAACATCTTAATTGTACATAAATACATAAATAAGTATTTGAAGATGCGGAATCGATCGTAGACAGACGTTGGACAAAATGGTAATCTCCTTTCACACTTTCCAAATCCACTCTTCTTAGTGTGTTGGTGTTTTAGAGCTTTTAAAAGGGATGGCGGATGGCGTTTTTCCTCGGTTGCCGAAAAGTGTTTAGGATAAAGTTGAGTTGCGACTAATGAATAAGTGAATCAGTATAAATATAACGAGCTGTAATTGGTGGATTCTAATCAAATCAGTATAAACATCAAATTTTCCGGTCGGAAGAAGATCGTTTTTGCACGATCGGGCGTTTTTGACATTTTACAAGATATGAGAGGAGGGTTGTAGGTCATACTTACCGCCCTAGACCTGTTAAATCTAATACGTACTCCAATCCCTTACGGTGATGTAACTTAATTACAACTCTTTATTTGGAAAAAAACATGTACAATTAACAACAAAGAAATACAAACAGTTAAGTACGACTAATAGAGAGCAAACATTTTAGCTATTTCATGTTGAATGTTGTAGAACAATATTTTGGACGAAGTTCCAGAAAATTTATCTTTTCGTCTTTGTGGTTAATAATTGTGTAAGTTCGCCGTATTCCAATATTTGGACAATTGTTTCCTGCAGGCTCCCGCTATTCCAATTATCAGCACTACCTGAAATTAATGAAACTCGATTGCACATTACACATCATCTATAATACTTTAAGTATTAAAAAATTCTTCAGTTAAGAATCGGTTCATGTCTTCTCTGGTAAACACATTAGATTTTCTTTCAAAAACGCTATTTATTTAGTGTATTTCGAAATGTCAGTCCGCAACATCGAATATTCAGCCCACAGACTGTTAGGAGATTATACCAAAAATTCCGTTTTAAATTAATATGGTGACTTCCATTTGGAATTAATTCTTTCTGACATACCTACCCACTGATTGTTCTCGATCGTGCAAAAATATTGTAAGCAAGGCGGATGGTATAAGTTTTTCTATAGGTCTGCCCTTGCCCTCGACCATAAGTAAACTTCACTTACCACCCTTGTAGCTTAATATACTATATGGCGAAACGAAATTTGGTTACCGCTCTATAACATTCGCGTACCGAGACAGTTGTAGAAATTCTTGGTTAATTACAGGGATCAATTATTTTTCCATCATCATCTTTCACTACGCTCTAGTTTAAAATTATTCCATTCCATTGTATAAACTTTTCTACTCTTCCAATTATACCACAAGAATGATATGCACCGAAAATTTTCTTTGACAAAGTAGTCATGCCCGTATAAATGAATGATTACCAAAAACCATTTCATTCATGTTCTTGATTGATTGATTCCAGATATGTCAACATGTTATTCATACGAAAAGTTGGAGCTAGGCCTGTATTGATTCGGCTTTCTTACTCGCGATTTTATTAATTTTGTTCACTGATTGTAATTTTTATGTTTGAATTTACTGACCGTGAAGCGTAAGTTTTTTCTGTAGTTGTGAAAGTGTGTTAGTGAATTAATTATCTTCATAAACATTATCTAGCTTAGATTTCGTGTTTTTTTAATCATAAGATCATAACGCAACGCCGCATGTAAGATGGCATTAATTGCAGTTTCTTGTAATGCAGGATATTTTAAATTTGCCTTATTTGTCAGTTGCAATATTTAAATAACACAGTTACATATTATGAGTCCAGGCGAATGGGGATTATTGCTTGCAAGTTAAGTTAGGATGTTTTTTTTTGGGAGCTTTCCATAGTGAATATACAGGTTGCACAAATTTCGTGTTCAGTACAGAAATTTCGCTAATTTGCATAGATAGAGACAGCGGAGATATGATCGCTTAAAAAAAGCGACAATTTAGTCCTTTAAATGAATGACAAACTACATTGATTTAGTCCACGGAGTATACAAAAAATAACATAATTGACGTTTTTGATTTGTGGTTTTAAAATGGTTATTTGGGGAGATATTTAAAAACTAAAAAAACTTTCTTTAGGGAACCTTTTCTGTTCTTTTAGATGATGGAAATGAATTTTCGTTATCATTAATATTTTATTTTATATCGATACCGAGTTTTGTTTTTCATATGACCACAATCTCTTAATAAATAAACTTAATAAATAAATAAACGCTCTTAATTGTGATAATATCTCTCTGACCGATCACAGACTGTCAGAGTTAACAACAAAATCAGTAGCCCTAAACCAATTAGGGTGGGGATTCCGCAAGGCTTACAGTATAATATTATCAAAATGTTTTATCAAATCGCAGTTGCTCCATCATGCACCTCTCTTTCTATTGAAAGCGGTTTTAGAAAGAAATGCCATATGGGGGTAAATTCGCCGATATTCCGCTTGCCCGTGAGGAACATTATTATCGTTTTTGTACTATAATCGAACTATTTCAACCTTTTCTTCTTCTGTAGAACCCATATTTTATAGCTGGAATGGAATAAAGTAATTTCGACAGCAGAATAAATAATTAATTATTAGTGGCGTTCAAATTATTTGTTTTGTCACGGCAACTGCGAATTGGTAAAACAGTTTGTAGTATAGTGTAAGTCAACATATGATATATTTATGAAATCAAAAAGAAAAGATCTAGTCAATTTTAATTCTAATATATAGGGCGTTCCATTAAAAATTGAAAAAATTTCCATTTTTACCAACTTTGCGATATTCATTTGTTTTTTTTCTACTTTTGGTTTTCTGGAGATTCCCCACAACTTTTGTATCTCTTGTATGAACCCGCTGTCCAACTGAATAACCCCGCACGTATTTTGTTTAAATTTCGGAAACTTAAATTAAGCATAGGGAAACGAAAAATAATGGTGTAATTTGTATTAAATTATTCGAAAGACATAAAGTATTCTCCCAGTCTAACAAACTTGCGTGGTTCCTCGAGGATGTCAAATAGGGAGTGGTTCGCGATACAGCCGCCCTGCTTACCCACGGCTTTGATTGTATACTTGCAACATATCAGTTAATTTATTAAACCACACTAAAGCATATTGACAGCTATTAAAGGATTGTTTGCATGGCATGCTATAAAATTCCTCACGATTTCTGTTACACTTGATGCATAAAGAGGATTGTTTCTATAGCATACTACAACATTTTGAAAAATTAGCTTCTTTAATTTTTTGTGTGAAAAATTCGAATCAAAAGTACTTACTTATCTTTAGCAATAATCGTTGAATTTAGGGAGATAAATTCTATCAAATTCAATTAAAAAACATAATCATGCCATTTAAAATATTTGAGTCCACTATTAGTAGTCACCGAAAAGAATAATTTAAAACGTTCTAATGATGGCCGTTTTGTAGTATTTTTGCTGTCATTAAATATGGTTTTTATTGCATTGAAGTCGGACTGTAGGCGCCACAGCTTGCGGTTACACCCTGTATAATTGATAAAAAAGTATGGGGTGTTCCATTAGAAAAAATTGAGTTTTACATACTCAATGTTAGTAAGATTCAGGAATCTTTGCTTAAGGCCCCGGTTGTACTATTGTGAAGATGACTAACTTAGCTACCTACTTTATCTGTTAAATGCAAATACCTCGGCAAATACATCACTGATATCTTTTAAGATAAGCTAGAAATAAATGTTTTATGTAAAAAGCGACGTTTGTAATACAAGTGACAGTAAAAAATTTACTACCTAAAAGGGTAGGTTACTATAAGTTCTCTGTCTTGTATTCTAAAAGTCAAGGTTTAGCTTTTTCTCCGGTATATGCTTTTAAAAAGAAAAACAAAATGATTGTGTAGTGGCGAATTATTACTATTATTACCCGTGCTTTGTGAAATTCATTAATCTTTAAGCAATATTCAACTTCATGCGTGAGATTGTAGAATTATTGGCTATGAAGAAACTAGGAAATGTACATCTGGCCAACAGTTTAAATTTACAAGCTTTTGGTTCATGATCATGAAAGCTATCTCAACATTAATTACATCTGCAGGTAGTAAGTTTTAAATTTCATTGTACTATAATTGAAGAAATTATTGCTTTCTTTAATGAAATTAAAAATCTTCACTCTTCAAAGGTCGTCAGTGGGTATTAGGTCAGTACTTCAGAATTCATCTTCAGATGCTTATTTTGATGAAACGTGGATTATTGGCATAGTTTCTCGATTATTTTTCTAGGTACCTACACGCTTCATTGAATTCAATACATACGGATTTCCTATTGGTACAGCTATAACTGCGTTCATTTTAATAATACATAGATCCGTTACACATTAGCGTTTTTCAAAAGTATTTGCTACTGCCGTGTTATTAATTTAATAAGCACTCTATTCGTGCATCGGTAATTACAAGTCAAGTTTAATCAAGCGACTTTGGAAAGTAACGGCCGTAACACGTTTTAAATTTTTTGTTGCAGACGAAAAGTATCGATTTGGACAATAGCGATGCAAGTAGCGGGACTAGGCCTCGGTTTGTTGCCGTTACGACCCTCGAAGATGTCCAGGCGGTTCGCTGTGCAGAATTCCACCCCGGTGGTCAGCTGTACGCCGTCGGATCCAATTCGAAAACTCTTCGAATATGTGGATATCCGAAATTGGGTGACGTTAGGTGAGTAGTACGCTCGCTATAACGAAATTGAAATTTTGCAACTTTCTCCTTGATAATTGCATTCGTGAGTTTGTCATGTTTCTTTGCCTAATAAATAAATTTCGAATTTATTATTGTTAATAGTTATGATTAAAATTGCAGTAAAACGCAATAATTAGCCGAATCAATTGGTTGTAAAATCTGTGCCACTTCACTTATGTTAATTTAATGTAATAAACTTGTTTTCGTAGTTTTTAATTTTAAATACCGTAGCTATACGGGTTAGTGATATACAAATGAGTGGCCCATTTCTTCTTGACCTTCAACGTATGAAACTTACGTAAGAAGGTACAGTAGCTCAAAACTAAGAAAAACTGTAACGGGTAACTGTTATAAGCGCAGCATTCCTGCTTTGCTAGCATGTATTACCCGTAATTTGTATCTTTAAGCACGTTTGTGCAACATCAAGACATGTTTCCAAATACTCGCCATTTGGCACTTACATACTCCACTAATTTGCGTTAGTAAAGGTCATACCGTGACCCTTGTTGCATACGTAAATCCCAATCTATATACAAAAAACATCATTAAAACTGCCATACATTATTTATTGCAGTCTCTTCGAATCTAGTAGTAGTAGGCATAATCTTTGTGGCCGACTGAACAAAAAGATACTTCATAGGCTAACACGAAAATTTAAATTAATACAATTATAATGAGCGTGATAAAACAGAAATAATTATAAAATCCCACCACTTTCTAGTGTTGAGTAAAGTACAAAAAGTTTTACAAAAATTTGGAAATAGTAAAAATCCGTCAGTAGACATACCAAAAACGAGATGTGTCCACCGAATCGTTCAAATGTTGTACATCGATCTCTCATGTAGTCAGGGCACTGTTATATATTTTCCTCATTCGATATTTAGATCAGGATTTATTGAGAGAAAATTCAATAACTTATTCAATGGCTGTACATGTAAAGTTAGAAAATTTCTTCAATTCAATACCCTATACCCCAATTTCGTTAAGGAAATAGCAAATGGAACAGTTCCGACAGGTGGCTACTAAATTTTGTGGTTCTCTTATTTTAGTAAGTACAATCAGAGAGAGTCAAAAACACACTGGACATTTTTTCTTTTTCTCTGAATATTTCTACTCCCCAAATGGCCAGCGACGTAACTATAATTTTGAGGCCCCCCGCAAAAATTTTTATTGGCCCTCTCCCCAAGTCCCTAAACAAAAAGGCAGTGCCTAAGAAGAATTTTTATTAATTTTTACAAGTTTATAGGCTATTACTTTTTCCGTCAATCCTAATAATTATGTACCTACTTAAACGAAACACAATATATTTTCCCTGTCGCATCTAGCAGAAGTTGAGAATACTCAAATAAGGAGATTAGTTGGGGGCCCCAGCACTCTGGGGCCCCCCCGCAGTCGCTGTAGCTGCGGGTACCTAGTTACGTCCCTGCACGGAGAACAGTGAGTTTTATAAGTCGAGTTAATCGGAAGCGTGTTTTACGTTTGCGAAGGAGTTTCCCAATACCTGTTAAATGGAATTTTGTCCACCATGCGCTACTATAATTGTAATTACAAGTCAGTGTCGTCTGAATCGAGTAAAATCAAAGAAGTAAAGCTCCTAAGTAACTTGGTTTGGTGTTTGTGTGTTTGCGCGTCAGTGGCTAAATTGATCATATGCACTTGAAGCCAGCTAGCAATTTAAAAAAATGTAGCAGATTTGTCTGTCCGTGCGTTTGGTCATGCTAGGTACTTAGATATTTATTTAAAAAGATTTCTTTGTGACTACGTGCGTAACAAAAGTCAAGCTAATGTTAATGATACTTGCGCGGAAATGATCCAGTTTTATAATACTAATAAGTATCAATATTCCACCAGTTCTTTTGAATTTCAACTTACTACGATTGATGAGGTACATTCAACATTGGTGGGTCTAAAGTCAAATGCAACTGGTGAAGGTAATATAAGTGCAATAATGCCAAAATACTGCAGCCCATACGTAGATAAATACATAACACATATCATCAACTGCTGCATTGAAACTAAATATTTTCCTGGAGCTTGGAAAAAAGCGATAGGAATTCCTCTATCTAAAGTTTCAAAGCCTAATTGTTTATCGGACCTGCGTATCATTAGTATATTATACCGAGTATATCAAAGGTCTTTGAGAGAATCCTTCAGAAGCAGTTACAGTGTTTCTTTGACACTAATAATGTTCTGCCACCGAACCAATATGGATTTCGGAAAGGTATTAGCTCGGTAAATGCCCTAACGGTGTTAACCGATGATATATTAACTGCTACAGATAGAGATCAAATTACTGCACTTGTTTTGTTGGATTATTCAAAGGCCTTTGATACCATTAATCATAAGTTAATCTGCGCTAAACTTAGATATTATGGATTAGAAGAATACTCTGTCAATTTGATCCATTCTTTCCTAACAGACAGACATCTCACGGTGAAATCTAACAATTCATTATCTGGTAGGTACTCTATCTTGTCTGGAGTGCCTCAAGGGCGAGCTCAAGGGCCAATTATAGGTCCGCTTCTATTTACTATGTACACCGCGGACATTGTGCGCGCGTGTAACTTCTGTAAATTGCAGGCTTACGCGGATGATACTCAACTTTACAAATCTTTTAGGTATGCTGAACGAATATTGGCCTGTGAGAGCATTAATAGTGATCTTGCTCATCTATGTCGGCTTTCATCTAAACACAATTTATTGCTAAATGCAGATAAATCTAAATTAATATTGTTCGGTAAACAAAAACTTCTTGCATCCTCTAATTTAAACTTTAATATAATTTGTAATAATACCCCACTAACTTTGCAACATTCCGCCAAGAACCTAGGTATTATACTTGATTCTTCCTTTCGATTTAAGTTACATGTGTCTCATTTAATAAAAAATGCTTACTCATCTTTAAAACTTTTATATTATAATCGCGACATACTATCATTTAATAAAAAAAAATGGTATCTGTAACCCTTGTTTTGTCTTATTTTAATTATGGTTGCTCCGTTTATGGCCCATGTTTAGATCGTACCTATTGATTTACACCGTATACAAAAAATTCAAAATTGGTGCTGTCGCTTTATTTACAACCTAAATCGTTATGACCATGTGTCAAACTACATGAATGAGTTTTCATGGTTGAATATGGAAAATAGGTGGAAATTTCATATTATCAATCTCACCAATTCCCTTCTTACCACGAATTTAGCTGCCAACGTACTTGCTGAAAGACTGATACCTGCGTCACGTCGACATCGTGTCAACGTACGTTTTAATAATAAACTCACGGTACCCCATCATCGAACAGCTATGTTTCAAAGAAGCTTTAGTTATAATTCTGTGAAACTTTATAACTCTCTTCCCTCATACATCACGGAATATCGCGGAAATAATTTTAAAAAACATTTAAAGGCATATCTTCTCAATCATAATCATAATTTGGGATAGTTCTTGCAGATATGTATAATGTTTTTTTTTTGTTTTTTTTTTTAAATTCTATTATCATTTGATTATCTTGTGTTGTGCATATTTAATTTGTGTACTTATTTCCATACTTTCTGGTTAAACAGAATAGCCTTGAGCTAGATTTCGCCAGAGAACATGTTCAATAAAGACGATTTATAACCAGAGTGTGTGGTGGTGATATCTTGAAAACGGAAGAAATAAAAACAAATAAGAAATGCTTTTTGTGGAGAAATTAAATGTGAAACATAAATCTAATATTTACAACAATATATATCTACTATAACCGATACTTTTGAGCCGCTGTGTATATTGAGGTAGAAGCAAAGTAAAAATGTCACACGGCTGTATGTCAGATAAAAAGCTTTTTGAGATAAACTTGTTTGTATAAACCATCCAAGGGATAATAATTTAATGGCGTCAGATAGGGGTGGATGGTGAATGAGGGTTAGCCTGGCTTGCGACGGTATATAACATGGGGCAGTGTGTGGAGTACATGAGGAGCATAAACATTATTGTTTTGTTGTATATAATATGTAATAGTCTATAATGACATGAGGTAATGGGGTGGGTGATTAGGTTCGGGCATGACAGTGGGAGAGGGTGGGGGGGGGACAATTTCTTTGTGATTCATTGATTTGCTTTGCTCAAAAGTCCGCATTATCAAATTAAGGATCTCGTAGCCTCTACATGGTTTTTTCGGCTAAACTTATAGGTTTTTGTTTATTTTGGAACAGTGTATTGTATTAGAGTAACTAAATTCAAATAAAAATACACGTCGATATAACAGTAAAAATGCATGACCATAAAACTACAAGTTATAGCATAGCAGGTATAGCTCGTCGACAAGGGTGCGTCTCTTTTTTCCGATTCTCAAGATGTGAGGTGTTACAAACGATCACATAAAACTCGTGGTTGATACATGCTCTAAATGGGGTGATGAACTATACAGGAAATAAACAACTCAATTCCTCAAAACCTTCCCCATGGATATAATATCAATTCCTCAAAACCTTCCCCATGGATATTATATCCATGTGGAAGGTTTTGAGGAATTGAGTTGTTTATTTCCTGTATGTTACAAACGATCGCGATAGGGGGTTAACGGAGAGGAAACATTTCCGATCCTCGTGATCTTTTATTATAGTATCAAGAAGAACAAAACAAACGCCCCCTCCCCTCCAGTGCACAATTCTCCAAGATCCTGCTATGTACTCGTATTCCAAAAAAAAAACACCAACAAGCAAAAGTTAGTAAACTACTTACGTAAGCGCAATCCAATGAAATATTATTCTGTATTTAAATCAGACAATTGTAAGTATACTTATTTCCAAAACTTCACTTCTTGACGTCAACAAAAAGCGTTTTCATGTTTTCCCAACGAGATCCCACGTAGTCATTATTGAACATTCGTAAAAACACATCAACATGAGTAACATTTTCCAAACGAAATCAGTGAATTGAAATACTATAGCGATAATTTTTCTCTTGAAGAACAAGTTAAGAACTGCAAAGTGGGTTACATATAGATGAAGTATTTTCGACCCAATTTTCCGAGAGCGACATTTTCGGGTGCGAAATGTCTCACGCGTTCAAAAACGAATAACTGTTATTTGAACGAGTTTTCCAAATGGAAGAAATCCAAGTATCTATAATTAACTAACACTTCGCCCACTATAAGTTAAGGACAATAAAATAAAAATAAAAAATAAATAAAAATCGTTGAGACAACTTTATAGGCATCGAATTGTAGTGCAACCAACCTCATGGTGGATAACTCTCTCCTTCTCCACATACCTTTTCACAAAAGATTGAATTAATTAATTTAATAGACTTCCTAAAAAATGTGAGCCTTAGTAAAGCTGAAGGCTCACTTATATTAGGTATGTTAATGTTATGTTAATTATGTTATAAGCAATATCTTTCAAGAGGACCTCTTAAGTTGCAATAGTAAATTTTGATAAAGAGATTATGTTAATTGGGTCATTTCTATATTCAATTTCGAAAATACTCTTTCCGGTAAAACTTGCGCACAAGATAAAGTTAAGAGGCATTTATAAAGGATTGATGAATGCGCTAAATAATTGTTGATGGTAGGTAGTTTAAATATGAAAGAATCCCATTCACTTTAGAGAAAGTGGCCATAATAGGACCTTCCAAAATGAGTTCACTAATAAAGATGGCATAATAAACAGAAACAGGTCAGCATAACATAACAAACGACAAAATAAAAAAACAAGCATTGAGGTTTTTATAGTTACACGTCGCCACCGTTTTTTTTCAATACATTTAATCAAAAGCTCTTCTCATCCTAACTTTTAGTGGTGTGGTGTGAAATAAACTTTGGTGTTTATATCACCCCACAAATAAAAGTCCAGTGGCGTTATATTTGGAGATGTAGAGGGCCAACGCCATGGACCTCTGGGCCCAAGCCACCTGTCTTCAAAAATATTCGTCAAAGATATATTAGCATTATGGGCGTTCCGTCAAGTTGAAACCAGGAGTACCAGGTAATGATTCCAAGAACGGTACAATGACATATTCTAACGCTTTTGTTGCAAGGCCTCCTAAGAAAACTTAGCATAACGGTTACAACTTTAGAAAATCTAAAATAAAACTGAAAGCATAACAGATAGGTACGGGAAATGTAATAATTGGTAGGTGTAGAATTTGTTCCGACATTTAAAAGTGGAAAAAAGTAAAGCGGGTTCCATTTGAAAAAAAATCAACTGTTTAAGGTTTGAAGTTATTAAAATTGAACATTAGTAAGGGCGATCACAATTTAACATCATTCTTATGTGGGAGCAATTTTGGAAAACTTTTTGAAATTTAAAGTACAGGGCTCAAAAGAAAAGCAGTCGAACGACAAAAATTTTGAAAAATATTGAATAACTTGAAAACCTTTGATGCTGGCTACAGGGAAATGTGATGTTCTATTTAACAGACAGACAGACAGACGGACGGACATCGCAAAATTATAAACTCGCTAGGAGCTCGTTAATAATTGGTACTGTACATACGCCTACAGATAAAAAGGTAGCTCTTGGTCGTCTTAACGTCTCTTTGCAAAAGAGATATCGAATTTTTCTCCTTCTCGTCGTAAATAAATCCTTAGATGCACCTTTCATGTCTAAATTTAAACTATTCTTCAAACTCACAATGTCTAATTTAATCATTCATTAAAAATTTCCCTTAGCCTTACACAGACAGGTGAACATTTATACATAGTCAATGTAGTTACAGCTCTCATTGCCTTCAAGGTGACGCGATACATAAGTTTCTTCACGAAAATAACAAGTGATTTACACACTTTTTGCTCGCATTCAAAATTTATTCTTGCTGAAATACCATTGAAAAAATGACAGCTGAACAAAGCACACTCATTAACATGCAAGAAATTCTCCATAAATTGGGCCATCTTGGAATAACTAGGTTAAATAAAACCCAATTTGTGAACACTACACTTAATGATGAAGTACCTTTTACTATTCTGTCTTGCGCCTTACCTTTCAAGATCTCAAGAGGTGAGTTAAGTTTTACCATACCATAGCGAAACCATAGTATCCTTTAAATTTATACTTAGGTGCCAACAGATGCCAACGCAATCTGGGACTCTGTCGCCGACGGGCATTACCAAGAATGCGCAGATGAGTTTGGGATTGACAGAGCCATTGGGAGAGACTTTTTGCGCAACCTTTACTTACCGGACACAAGAGCTTTTCATTGCTTCCTAAGGTGTTTGTATAAAAGTACAGACTTTTTAAATGCTGACGGAGATTTTGATATCGAAGTGGTGGTATACAAGGCTCACTTTCTGCCTTACGACTTAACGGAGCAGTGTATCACTGAAAGTCACATGCAACCAGATCTCTGCGATAGGGCATATACGGCCGCTGCTTGCGCTGTATCAGGATTATCGGGGATGGATCGTGAGGCACTTAAAGTTCCAAGAAATTAGATTTTCTTAGTTTTTTTATAAATCTGTAAGTTTGGGGTCCAAACTGTAATAGCTATATTAATTGGTAACGTATCTGGCTATGTATTGTAGGAACTCTCTGTGTATATAGAGTGAAATAAAGGATAATATATAACAACTATGCAGTATATTAAGCGGCAGAGCAAAGCGATGCAAGCTGTATAAGGAAATCGATGGTGTCCGTCTGTCCGTGAACACAATAACTGTCGAACGCTTGGACCGATTCGGTTCAAATTTTGCACAGTTGACCTATACGCCACAAGTAATAAGCCTATGGAAAATGGGTCAAATCCAATGACCCCTTAGTCTCCTCTCTGTCTCTGCCAAACGCTTGAATCTATTTGGTTCAAACTTTTGACAGTTGACCTATATGCCACATGTAACAAGGCTATTAAAAAATGATAATGGGTCAAATCCAATGACCCCGTTGGGTCACGGCTTTCTGTCTCTGGCAAACTTTTGAACCTATTCGGTTCAAACTTTGCACAGTTGACATATGCGCCACATGTAACAAGCTTGTTGAAAATGGGTGAAATCCAATGACCCCGTAGGGTCACACCGAGGTGCTCTGTCGCTTTTTTAGATCTGCTTTAAGGGTTTATTGATTCTGAAATCGTTTAAAAATGTGGACCTATGTCTATTAGAAAGAATCAATGCATTCTATGATGATAAATGGAAATAGGTTTGGCCGTTGTAGATGATGGTATTTGGTTTTAGAATGCCATTAAATTAGTTCACTATGCAATTATTTTGGGCAGATCAGAGAAGCAGTCAGAAACAAATTAAATTTGGTACCTATTCAATCAACTCACATGAAACTAAACAAAGAAACATTCCTAAAAACACAGTTACATAACTTCTATATGAATAGTTATATAAGTCTATTACTTCAGAAATGTTGCAGTAATGAAACTAGAACTTCCACAACTGACATTTGCAGTTCAAACCAACATTTCGTAAATATAACAGGTATACAGGATGGTTCAAAGTCGTGGCTCACCATTGCAATCTCCGTAGCGGTGAGAGTGTACAATGTAGGTTAAAGATCGTTGAAAATAACTAAGACATCACCGAAAAACTGAAAATGTCAAATTGCATTATCCAGGGCATTATCATTGTGGTCGGAAATGGATGTTTCCCATTAGAACCTTCTATGGGCACTTTTTTCGGAGAATCTAAATCTGTTGTCAAAATTTCGATAACACGATAGATGCAAAATCGATGGACTACTACTTTCTTATTTCTTATGAACGCCGTGTTGGATTTTTACGGACTGAGATAGAGGACAAAAAAAGATAAATAATGACAGTCAATCTGTCTACTTTCACAGAGAAAAATTTCAAAATCAAATTTTTACATTCATTTCTCAACAAAACATCCACGGGTAACTAGATCTTGCTGAATCAACGTGGCTATGATGGTGATACATTCAAATGAATTTCCTTTTTCTCTATCTCTATCTCATTCCGTAAAAATCCTATGTGATGCCCATATAACATAAGAAATTAGTAGCCTGTAACTTCTACATCTAGATTGTTATGGAAACTCTGATAACAGATTCAGATTTTCCGAAAAAAAAAGGCCCATAGAAATTGTTAACGGAAACAGTCATAGACTTGGTCCACGGAGTACAAGAAAATGGCCATTTCTCAGATTTCCATAAGAAATATGAAAATCTGTATCTATGCATCTGTATCTAATCTATGACGAAAATTGACTCCTGTGAATGGAGTAAACCTTTTGTATTGCGAGACAATCACAATCAATCCCGTACTGTCATGCTAGTGACGCCTTTGAGTATGCAATTAAGAAACTGATCTTCAATAGTATAACGTATACAACTGTAAATCCATTGAATTGTAAAGCCATCATCAGACCTAAAAATGTATAACCGGTTAAAAATTCATATTTGGTTTACTAGTAGTAAGCTGTTACTGTAAAATTAAAATTGAAAACCATGAAAGTTCGGTTACTGTTTCCACATTTATTTCTGTTTTTCATTCAAATTTCATACAATTGTATTTTCTACTTATAATGCTCCCACAAAGTACGAGTATATTTTATGAAGTCATTAAAAAAGCACCATAAACAAGTTTTACATCGTTTTACTTCTACGTTGAATGCATTAAAGTTTCTATACAAAAATCAAAACAACCATAAATGAATAACAGATTATTGCCGATTTATTCCATTAAATTGTGCATTTTGCAATGTTTGTAACCTGGCGTGAGATAGGAAGGTGTAAAGTCGCACTGAATCAGCATTATGCATTAAAAATTTAATTATAGGTAGATAGGTATTTTACATTTTTATGTGTGCGAACAAAATCACGACGAAAAAAATTGCAAGTTTTGAAAAAGTGATTTTCATTTATAAAAATGAACAACAATAACAAACCCATTTCTAATATCTGTGGGCACTTGATGTAAATGAATCCCCAAGAAGTAATTATTGTACAATATTAAGAACATTTTTTTCCTAAATGTCCCGGAGATCCAAAATTGATTGTAGTCCTCGATTTTCCATACCTTCGTCTACTTCGTTGCGCCTTTCTCGCTTTCGTCTTCCCATAGGACTATATTCCGTCATTTCTCTTATCCATCTATGTTCTTCGGCCCTTCTAACGTGTCCGTGTCACAACGACAGTTTTTCTTCTATGTGTGTATTTTTATCTTTTTCCCTCCCCACGTTTCTCCGTATCTCTTCATTTTGTACTCTATCCATTGATTTATTTTTTGTCTTGTTCTTTTCTAATAATTCCTGTATTGTGTAAATATGGTCAATGGTTGAACTTCCTCCTGTAAACCCTGCTTGTTCCACGCTTATTTTACATTGGGTTTATTGCATTCTTTCCTATTCTTACCTGAACTAGCCTGGGTAAGTAAAAATACGAAAAGTAGATCCCAACGTACTACAAAGACTCACAATGGGAGCATGGCAACTCAAGACTTTAAAAGCTTCTGGGAGATTTGTTGTACTCGAGATTGTTTGCAACTAAACGATCTACTAAAGAATCATAGTGCTTTTATATTAAACACAAAGAAGAAGCCCCCAAAATGCTATTCAAAACAGTACTCTTACAATGTATTGAGCTAATTAAAGGTTCTCAAACCCTAGAAAACCCTCAGAGTTTCTTGATGACGAGAGCTTCATGAAGTTTTATGACGTAAGACGGCATACGTCGTACCTGCTGTATCTACCTACTTTATCAAGCGTACCAATCGTCGACCTTTGTGGCTAGAAAGAGAACGATTTCATCTTGAACTGAAAAGAATGGGAAAGTAACATGTTGATTTGCAGCGAGTGGTTCTCCTCACAACTGAACTAGATAAGGTGCACACACATTGGAATGAACTTCAAATGAAGTTAGAATGTGAAATAACGCTGAAAAAAAGAAAATTTTATTGATAAACTAGAAAAATTCGACAAATCTGTTACATCTTAAAGCTGACTTAAAAATGCATCTATTGCACACTTAGCGCCCACGTAAGACTTTTCGCAAATGTCCATTATTGCCATTGTCTCCGAAATACACTTCTCAGCTATATGAGGGGGCATATAATGCGCCTTTGTCACGACCATATCGTAATCAAAATCTCCTTGAGGTGTTAGAAACTTTAGATTTACATACAAGCATTGAACGAAGCAATGAAATGGCCTTTCATTAGCCATCTGTCCAAAACGAACGAAGTTTCTTGCTATTTCATGATCGAGCACGATTCTACAAACGGGTCTACGAGGGAGTTCCAAATATCTGTCACTTCAGAGGGTACCTAACAAAATTACTCAATTACACCGCTACATGTTCCCCAAACTTACATTTTTTGTCAACGTTAAAGAGCTAAAAAGAAATATTAATACACACACTTTCATCATCATATTTAATTAAAGACTGTACCTACTTAGGTATAAATCTGTTACTGACCTTAGCCTTGATTAAAGTTATGCTAATACCAGCAAGTAGACATATACACTGAATATAATATAGGTACACATCCTACGTGGGATTTTGTAAATGCATAGAATGTGGAAAAGTATGTTCCAAATGTCTGATGAAGGGAGGAACGGATAGACGTTTGGCAACCTTTACTTAACACATAAGTAGTATATACGTTTCGGATATCTTATGTATATTGATCTACCTATATGCATGAGTCATGCTTCATATATGCATGAATATTCTTCTAATATGCAAAGATGTTCAATAGTATTTCATATATGATGCATAAGTTCATAATTGCAGTTCCATCGAGATACCATACATAAATAAATAAATAAAAGTTAGCGCTTACGATGTTGAACTTATAAATTAGTAATTTATGACGCGAGCATTAACCAAAATTCGGTTATGAGAGAAGTAATAAAGGCGAAAAATTGACGTTTCTAGCACGTCTAATTCCTTTATGTTCTTCTTCGGGAATTGATATTTAACTTGTAAAGGAAGCTCTCGATTGGGCAGTTAAAAAACTTTCATTGTGACGTAACTTACTTAGTAAAAAGGTGTGCAATTTAGTCGTTGAATGAAATTCATGGATTTCAGTTAGAAAAGGTGCAATATTGTTGACACCGTTTGAGTAGAAATGTGCAGTTTAGAAGCATTTGTTAATTATATTCCGTGCGAACCCGCTATCGGAATACTTCACTACAAGATAAATTCTTTTTAATTAAAATTAATTAATTGAATTAGAGATAATACTTGCGAGTAGTCTTTATATTCATAATATGAACTTTCTTGTTGTGGTCGAATACGCGTATAGTTCTAGACGATATCGCAATGTTGCGTTGCACTTTTATTTTTGAATGTCAATTATTTGTCATTGAATTTAAGTTGTCAAAACATGCGAACTGCTAACGTAATTTGAGTTAAATTTAACTAGAGGGATTAGTTATCTCCTTCTGCTTGTTTCTCTTGCAGTTAACTTTATTTTAATTTTATTATTTCATGATTCATAAAGTTCTTTTTATTCATTTTGAACTGTATTAGGAGAATTTAAAAGATTAACTACAGTTGAAAGGAGGCCAGAAAACACACCACAGAACATTTTACTGCAACTGTCGGTTTGGCAAAAAATGAGCCTTCAAATTTTAGTTCCGTAAAATGAAGGGCATTACATCCCCTAATATTCGTTCCCCGTTCCCGTGGACTTTTGGTCTCGAGTACTGTCATAATTCCTGTACATTTTGGATTTAAAAGGTATATAGAATATCGAATACTATGTTGGTATGTCCTATTATAAAACAGCAGTAATTAATTAATCGTGAACTCAGTATCGTACAAATTCAATTATCAAATTATATACCTAAGATGTAGTCACTAAGCGTCTTCTACATATGGACAAATTATGTAGGTTCTAATCAATATTCAGCATTAACTTCCTGCCCGCGGTTGGATATTCCTTTGAAAATGAACGTATCACTTACATGCCCCACAGAGGTACCGCTGGAAATATATTATTACAGTTTGTAGTTTCTACACAGAACTAAAAAGTAGGTATACTGAACCGGTTATTGGGAGACACATTAAATTTCAGAAGAGAATAATATAACGTTTTTGGCTTAAGACTACCGACATGGCTAAAGTAAAAGATCACCATTTTGAAGTACAGTGGACACCTAAATTTATCGAAAGAATAGGATCATCTATATCTGACTCTTTAGCTGAAAAGAAGTTTGAACGTTTTAACTAGAGATTTAGGTATACATATTACGTAAATTACTTCTAATAGAACCAGCAAACCATTTTTATAGGTACCTACCTAAATAGATACTGCAAATAAATCATTCAATTCTCCTGTCAACGTCTGAAACGTGTGAAGGTCTCGTTGTAATTACCACATAATGATCTAAAATATAAATACTTTTTTTACTGTAAAAAGTAACGTTATGGCCAGTGGTATGACATAAACTATTATTTTTATATCGTTACGTCTATAGTTTTGATTATCTTTTTGTAGAATGCTTCCACTCTCTTTTTGCAAATCCTGTATTCTTTTTTTCGCTGTCCTACCCCCTCCAACCTTTTCAAAACAATATGTTGACTCTCCGTTGCCTCTTCTTGGATTTGCTCTTTAAAGTTTTCAATCAAATCCCTAAAACAGTCTTCTCTGTTATAAATGTCCTTGCTTTCTTCAATTTTCATTCGTCGTATCACTACTCGTTCATCTTGTTCAAATTCTCTTCTCCTTTGATTTTAATTTGTTGGAAATAATTTTTTTTTTGACAATAATGAATTAAATTGGTTTGCTCCTGCGTTCTTCCGTATCTGGATCGCCTGGTTCTCGTCTTCGTAGTTTTCCGACTGCTTCTTCATAGTTCCCGCTTTGTTCATACCTTCTTCCTTCTCTCCAATTGTAATTATTATAGCCCACGGGGAAATGACGTGACAATGCTTCCACTAATTGAGCTTCTCGTATTGGCGGCTGCAAGTGGTTAGTTTTGTTGAACCAGTACCAAACGTGGCCGCTGTATCTTCCGAATTTGACTTGGTATAAACGAAGCCGCCAGGCTACCGTGGACATGTTCAGACCAATATTCTTTGAAAAAATCCTGTTTAAATTTCTTCGCTTCTTGGTGGAGCATGTGATTGGCTTTGTAAATAACTGCGGGGTTCCTATGATGAGTATTCTTCCTTGATTCCCGTTGATTTCTGATTTCTCCAATATCATTCATCAATATATATTAATAAATAAGAAAGTTGATATTGTTGCTTGAGCATGCGCACATTAATCGTCAAAATTTTTCTTTGCTCAAGTGCCAGAGCTATAAGCTACCCAATACAAAAATAACGAATTAAATATATTGAAGGCCTCGGATGGACAAACGGACGGACAGACAGGCGGACAGATCGACGGACAGAGAAAGTGGAAAATGCGCCAAAAATGTATATTGAGTAGCCCATAGAGCCATAGATCATATTTCAGGAGTAGATAGATGGAATAGTTCAGGAACTTATATTTTTCACAGCTAGTCAGACGTTTTAAGTTGAGAGTTGAGAATAGTATGTTTTGCTGGCAAACATGTACTGCCATACGAACACAATCGCTGATAACTGGATAAACTACACAGATTTATACATTGAAACCAGAATGTAAAGGTAATGCTTGATAATTGAACTGAGTATGCATACAACATAATAGATTGGTAAACTAGGAAGTACAAATTCGGTACAATCTGTTATACCAATGAATCTATTGCACACTTGGCGCCCACATATGACTTCCCGCAAATGTCCATTATTGCCTTCGTCTCCGAAATACACTTCTCAGCTAAATGAGGTGGCATATAATGCGCCTTTGTCACGACCATATCGTAATCAAAATCTCCTTGGGGTGTTAGAAAATGTAGATTTTCGTACAGGCATCGCAAGAAGCAATGGAATGGTCGGTCATTAGGCAGCTGTCCAAGACGGAAGAAATTTCTTGCTATTTCATTGTCAATATTAAACTCACTGGCGCACGACCCTACAAACGGGTCTACCAGGGAGTTCCAAATATCTACCATTTCTGGGGGTACCTAAAAAAATCACTTAATATACTTACACCGCTACATATTCTCCTAACTTACATTCTTTGTCAACGCTAAAGAGCTAAAAAGGAGTATCAATCCACATACTTTCATTATATTAGAGACGTGTGTACTGTGTATTAACTATTAGGTAAGTATAGTAACTGTGACTGTGACCTTAAACTTGATTAATTTGATTATAGTTATGCTAATACTATGTAGCAAGCAAATAATTGTTGCAACATTTACTTTGCTTTATAAACAGCTTTTTTTCTTGTGCTATAATGGATTTTGTATGTCTTATTGTAAGGAGTTTTCAATTATCACAATGGCGATTGGTGATGTGAAATTACACGTTTTTTTAAGTGCGTAATATTACGTGTAAAATCAACCAATTGATGATTATGTTTGTATGGTATTTTATGTAATTTATGTAACTTACCATTTTTTAAACTGTAACTTTACAGTAAAATTGCCAGTAATTTATGTTTTTTACGTAATTTACAAACATTTTTGTAAAACTACCTGTTTTAGACAACAATTAAAGTTTTATAGGGAATGGTTTGTGTTTTGGATCTCCATTCACTAATCTTAATACAACACCAGATATCCCATAAAAGTGGTAGACTACCAAGTATAAGTAACATTCGAATACGTTTCCGACAAGGACTGCGCGCGCCAAAAAGAATGGGAGAAAAACGCACGACAAGAAATCTATTACGGGAAGATCGTAAATTATTCACAATTATTATAGTTATTAAGGTATCAAGGGCGTTATGAACTAAATAACGCCCCAGGTCAACAGTGTAGAACCCGAGGGCCTCCGGCCCGAGGGTTATACGTTGACCATGGGCGTTGTGTTCATAACGCCCGTGGTGCCTTCAACGTTTTATGTCATACTTGATGATTTTCCAAGAATTGGCGGTGCCAGATGATTAAAAGAGAAGATAATGAGAATCATCAAAATTAAGTTATCCATGGTCGTAACCGAGGGCGTAACTATGGAGATAGATATTATATTTGTCAAAGTCAAACATTCTAAAAACTGTCTGAAAAATGGCAGACGAAGCGTCTCATTTACCGGTACACGTTCTTGCGCGATCCGCAAAAGCGAATGAAGCCATAGTGCCACAAAAATCGAAATCCTCTTATGAAAAAGAGTACGCTATTTTTGCAAAATGGATGGTGAGTAATTCTGTGGAGACAATAAACGAAACCGTTATATTGGGTTACTTCCAAGAGTCGGTATGTTTAAGTAATTTTATTAGTCATGAAACGGAAAGGTGATTTACACTCAGAGTCATTTTCTCCCAATTCGCTTTGGACGAAATTTTCAATGCTATACGTAAAGAGTTAATGGTAAAGAAGAAGATTAAGAGTTTCGAAAAATTTGTGCATCTACAAAGGGTATTTAAAACAAGTTCAGGAAAGCTATCGTCCAAAAAAATCAAAAATCCTTACTTGCGAACAGATAGTCGCCTTCCTTACAGAAGCACCTGATCCGCAGTATCTGATCTACAAAGAGGAAAGAAAATGTATGGGTCTGGGCCAAGCTGGTGCGGTGTTCTCTGGACAGTCCCAGAATTGTTCTTTTTACTTCAAAATAACAGTAGGATAATGCGACATCAACACCGTTCGTTTTATTTAGTTGTTGAAAATAAAAAGTTCGTACAGATTCATTATTCCACATTTATAGGATTTACAGAAATAACGCCCTTGGGCGTTATAGAAATAACGCCCGTTGCTACGCATAATTGGGGTTGTCATGGTGGAGTGCATTATTTGTCATTTAATGTATCTTGATTTAGGATTATTATAACTGAATAATAATCAAGTATTACATAAACGAAATAACGGCGTAAACAACAAAGCGACAACTGAACTAGTTGTTCGCTAATGGTGACAACTTTGCTGTTGAAACACATTCGATCTTTTAATTTAATATAGGTAATTGTAAACAATATTTAGTTTCAAAAATAAAGCCATACGTGGAGAATATATCAGATGGGGGAAGGTATACCAACGCGACAGGTTTGACACCGCTGTACCCGCAATTTGTGGAAAATGGCAGAGCATTCTCACTTTGCCTGAATGTTTGGGAATTTTGCGAAATCACTAAAGAAGAGCAGGCAAAGTACGAACTCGAGCTCCATTTCTCACTTTGCCTGCGGCATTAGTCATTTCGCAAAATGCCTAGGGATTTTGCGAAATGCCGGATTTCGCAGTTTACCGGTAACATATAATATATTATTGTGGTTTATTGGTTTTTGTTTGTTTTATTTTTTGTAACTTCAACCTCCACAGCAGTTCCAGTACTTCCAGCGTTGTTTTTGATAAGGTAATCCTGTGTAACGTAATCCGTTAGATATTCGTATGATCTAGTTAGGTTTTACTATTATACTATCGTTTTACTAACAAAGATTACTTGCCGTTGTTGGCGATATGCAAATGATTCATTTATCGTGAGAGGATTTAATAACTTGATGGAATCCTATTTTTTGGAAAAGAGGCTAACTGTTGATGACCCTGAATGGCACTTCCCCAAATGAAGCTACACATACATAGATGACCCCAAGATTACTTCATGCGACTCCGGAAATCCCGTCCCAGCGATTTTTCCGCTAAAATACACCCCAAGATATAACATCGACACAAACACACAGCAATATCGGAAAGGGACTCACCTTTTCAACAAGCGGATTAGTAAAATTAAGGTAGATGAACACGTTGCAATCTCTCCGGCCAAACGTCCCGCGTGGTACCATCCACGTATATTGATGAATTAGCAATCGACTGAATCCCTCCAAGCAGCATCAAGGCAATCTTTCAATTATTTTCCGTAAACCAAACCAAACGGGCGCCTCGATAAAAACCAATGTCCGAATGCCCTTTTACTTATCAGTTCCAGTAATTGTTTAAACATTCTTGTTTGGTTTTCTGACCATTTCTCTTGATGGAGAATTGTTGAAAACCCATAAAAAAAAGAAGCAACCGATCGTATCGTAACGTTCGAAAAAATCGGAATCGAAAGTGCAAGTCAATCGGAAGTTCCAACATCTCTAACTACGTCGTACAATTTATAGTTATAAATTCAAGGCTATGGTGCGTAAACACCCTGTATAGGTACTACCCACAGCACCATTGCACTTACGGTTGCCTATGCTATTGCTATTTGCTATAGTTAGTTGTACTATTTGTGTTTCCCGTATTAGTAATCCTATTACTCATTACCTTTAATTATACACTACGCTATAATTAATGTTTATTACCCCACGTTTGCCGTTTCTATTTTTTTTATAACCTACGATAGTTTTTTTCGTTAAATTGCATTCAAGAATTAAGTGCATCATTGGCCTGTAAGTCGACTCTAGGTAATTATTTACTGTTATTAGCTGCTCCTGTATGTATTTTTGTTGAAAGAGTTAGTCATAATTGGAATTAGGCTTTAGTTTGGATTTATCAGCTCTAGGTATATAAATAATCTGAAGGGGTACGAACAATACTTAATCATGCTGGATTCTGACTGAACTGAAAATACCAAATTACATCAATCCATCTTTTATTTTTATACATCAGCGACATCGACATCAGCTGTTTGAATCCCATAGATCAAAATCAAACAACACGCGTGAAGTTAAACGTTACCATAGATTCAAGTAATATTATACCGGATGTTTCGAAAGGATGTTTTTAGACAAACATTAGATGTTATATTTGGATTTTAAATTGTTCCAAAAAATTGTGAATCGATTTTTGGATAAATTGTTTTAAAGAAATTTAAAAAAAAATAGTGATTTGCTTTAAAAACTCATTTCATTTGTTTGTTGTATTTCGTATCTACAGTTTCATTCATGTTCAAAATTTTTTTTTAATGAACTTTAAAACACCCGAAGTGGTATAAATTTTTTCTCAAGAACGAAGGATTTTTTTACGAATTTTAATCAAGATATTTATGTCCTCGTTCATGTCGTTCTCTTTTTAAAAATTCAAATATTTTAACAGCCGTTTCTCTTTTTATTTACAATAATCTCCTGTTTATTTATAACAGGAAAAGCGACTATCAATCGGTTTCTAACTCACCGAATCATCTCAGATATAAAAATAATTTGAGAATACCAAAGCATTGTCACTCTTTCGTAGCAAACCATTTCCCGGTTATTGCTATCAAATTGTTCAATAACCTTCCAGAAGTTCCAGATAATATTAAATCTATTTCGCAATATAATGGATTCTGTTAAACAGGTATTGATAAAAAATACACTCTATACATTACAAGAATATTTCAATAGCGACCTTAGTCAATAATATTATAACATGCGAAAACATTTGTACAATTTAGCACTCCTATGCTCGTGTTTGTGAGTCTACAGGAATAATAATAATTAATTAATTACTATATGCGATATGTTATACATTGATGTTCATTTAGAAGTAAATATAGGGATTTGTATATTGTTTTCCCTATTATCGCCGCCACAAGAGAAGAGCTCTGCGTCATCAATGTACGAATGCATAAATCTAAGGTGTTGATACTTACATCTCAAAAATTTGCCCAACCCAAAAAAGGACAGAGAGCGAAACAAGTTCTTGGGATATAATAGACGTGCGCTTTTGAAAAGCTAAATGTAATGAAAAGAGATAACCTATAACGCTTGTCAAGTTTAACATGCATATTTGATGCTGATTTGACCAACGTCGCAATACTCCTAATTATTTTCAAATTTTCCATAACCTCTTTTGCTCTTCGTTTTTGTTCATTCTTCTTTTACCTACGTTTTTTTTCAACTTTCCTAATTTGACAAGTAAACAACTGAATTGGGATTTGCTGTTGCTCTTTTTAAACCTTTGCGAAACTACGCCATCTAGTACATTTTTCAACAACTTTAATATTGATTATTACTGAACTATTTTGACTTTGATTTTAAATCTTAAATCACACGCTTGTAGATGATGACGCAGGGCTCTTCTCTTGTGGCGGCGATAATATGTCTAGTTTTAAATGACAAAAACCCTTCTGAAGGACGCCTAATTTTATGCAACCAAAATAACTTCTTAAAACAACTGAAGATCTGGCTGTCATATTAATTAATTGGGATATTACTGCTTTGGCTTCCGTATTTTTATTTTCGTCCGTGTGCGATGTATTCGCCTGAAGAAAAAGTTGATATTGTCAATTGGTATAGTGCCCGTAAAAAAGCATTATGCGGGTCACTCTGTAATTGGGCGTAAGCCTACTGAGGAACAAATAAATAAATAAACAGTTTAAGGAGCGTAAGAGACTTATTTTCTGTGTTGATTACTTCAAAATTAGTGGTTGTTTAAATGTGATCCACATAAGACAACGTAAACAACTCTCAAATTTTAACGGAGGATATGAAACTAAATGTTTTAATTTTTGTGGAAGAGAATCCCATAAGAAACTTAAGGGAAATAGCTGCCGAATTTAATATTTTTTCATCATAACCTAAAAGCATACTATTTATTGTCCTTTTTATTAAAATTTAGAATGACAGTGCAAAATGCGTGCTCATGTTATTTTGGTTGCATAAAATTAGAGGTCTTTCAGAAGAGTTTTTGTTATTTAAAAGTAAACATAGAAAATCCCTGTATACTTCTAAATGGATAACACTGTGTATTAATAAATAAGAAAGTTGGTATTGTACAAAAGACGGCTTCAAGCTAAATAATAGACAAAGCTGCAGAAACATCTTTAAGCGCAACAGGCTCTTAACGATATACGGATTATACATCTATGAATGTATAATATTTTTATTTAAAAATTCACAAATTCACTTTAGAACTAATTCCCTAAACCATCAGTACCTCACGAGAAATAAAATAAATTATGGAATACCTGAATACCACCTGTCATTGTTTAGAAGGGGCACCTACTACAATTCAATCAAATTCTATAACCATCTCCCAGAAAGTATTAAAGTGAATAGGGATATTAACGAATTTAAAAGAAAGTTAAAACAATTTTTAATAAACTTGGAACCCTATTCCATTAACGAATTTTTAGAATAGTAGGTAAATGTAATACATTAGGACGTATTCCTTCTTATGCAATGAAAAGACTTCATTTGTATATAGTAAGAAATAAAGAATATTATTATTATTATTATTATTACGCAGATTGCACATGCGCATATTAATCGTCAAGATTTTTCTTGGCACAGGTGCCAGAGCTACAGGCTACCGAATTCAATATATTCAAAACTGTAGGAGTAGTTAGGCCCCGGACCGATGGACAGACGAACAGACTGACGGACGGACGAACGGAAAGAAAATCTGTATACCCCAACAAAAAGAGTTTTCCTAAACCAGATTACTGTTTTCAGATACAAAAATGGATGTGAATGAAATTTCATGCTATAAATGGGACGACAAGCTTATATTGTCGAATGAAGAATATGGGAAAATGCTGACCAACTCGGGGTACAATGAAAGTTGTGCGGTGGAAACCCCTTTCCCTAGTGATTATGTTCTTGCACTGTTCGCAGACTTGGCTTACCAAGATAGCCCATCAAAAAGACAACTGCCTCAGGACTGGATGTTATTAACTACCGTACATAATAAAAAAACTTCCAATGGATATTTCGGTGCTGCATTTTGGAATCCAACATTACGTCATATAGTGGTGGCGCACAGAGGCACCCGACTATCAAATATAGGCGCTTTATTTTCTGATGTTAAATTAGCCTCTAACAGTATCAAAACTAACCAGTCAGAATCTGCAGCAACATTTGTACATTTGGTAGGGGTAGAAATTGACCATCAGATCTCTCTTGGTGCTAACAGAATTCAGTTGTCAATTACAGGTCACTCTTTAGGTGCCTGGTTGGCGCAAATGTCCACGTTTACTTTAAAATACTTTAAACGAAAGGGAAAAGAATTTGTTGGAAATGAAAATTTTACATCGAGCATCCATGCACACACAGTCACATTTGAGAGTCCGGGCTGCAGGGAAAACTTAGAATTTTTACGCAAACGCTTTGTTCCGACATATTTCCATACGAATTTTGGCAACTTCTACACATTAGATATGACGGTATACTTGAGCGCAATCAACCCAATAAATAGCATAAATAAACATGTAGGAGTGATCTATATGACAGCTGCGAAATCACACTCACTATCAACGATCTTGGATCAATTTGATGTGATTACCCAGAAAATTGCAAACGAACGAGTATTACACTTTGAATCTGGTGTAAAGGCCTCCGTAAAGAGTGTCTTTAAGAGCATAATAAACAATCCCAACAGATCTGTAACTAAAGTGCCATATAGAGAAAATGAATGCAGTTTAAACGTCTTTAACGATAGCGAGCTTGATTTGGCCAAATATTGGAAATATTTAAGTAACTACGAGTCCGAATTCATTCAGAAGATAAAACGTCGCATGGCGCATTTCGAAATTGACTTCGAGAAACACATAATCAAATCGGCAAGCTTAAACAGGATTATTGCAACGATAAAGGATCAAAAACCGACTAACGAGTTCATTTGCGATTTACTTGAAAGCGTCAAGGATATCGACTTGAATAAGGAAATTTTGGAAATTAATAGGCTTCAGTTTCAAAAGGGGAAGTTTGGCGAAGGTTATTTTTTTAAAGACCGCTATGGTCTGAAGGCATTTTTAAATTCTTCCAAAAAAGCACTGCACATTCGTGTTCGTCATTCACAAGAGTTTCCAGATCAAGTTGAATCGCTGATATTGGGCAACATCTGTAAACGCTATGAGAGTAATGATTTTGCCTATTCTTTTACAAACCTCATCCTTCTGCCTATTATCTTGAAAAAGAATATGTTTAACAATACCGGTTTGAAGTTGTTAATAATTGAGTGTTACGATATGATCGATAGAGACCTAGAAGTTATTCAGAAGTTGTCAGCATGTGCTTCGTATAAAATTGTTACTATATCACCGTTTGACTTTTCTTCAAGTGTAGGTGAGTAACTTGTATTAATCTCAGTTTAAGTAAACGTAAAACAAATTACACTTTTGCCTCGACCTTTGCAATAGTTTACCATTTTTCAAGATTGCCTTACAATAAACTATGATCCACTCAAGTTCAAACTCTACCTAAACTTTAAAGTTGTTAGTATAGGTATAGTGGACGGTTGTCCATATAAGAAACAAGGAACACAGAGAAAAAATTAGAATATGTTTTATTTCTTTTAGATCATGATTCAGCCGTGTTTGTGGAAGGGTTGGGTCATTGCATTAAATTTCAAGATTTACAAGAAGAGAGCCAAAAAAAACTTCTATCAGAAGACATTTTTCAGCGATGTGGAAAAGCTATGAGCATAGGAGATTTAATAGGCAATGCCTTATTACAAAAGGAAACATCGAGTTACTTGAACCACTTGTTACCTACCAATCTTTTACTAAGTTTAATTGGAGAATATCCATTGGAGTACTTAGTGCTGGATATGCCCTACAAGAACATCCTAAATGGCATCACTATTGAACAACATCAGGAAGTTGACTATAAGAATATCGTGTTGAAGTGTAACAAACACTTTCTATTTCTATTAGTGAACAGTGGAGATGATCAAGTTTCAATAATCGAAGAGCTTAATTTGCCGTTCCAAAGGTGTTCAAATATTGAAAGTGAATGTCTGAATAATTTAGAGAAAATTGTTTACGTGTTTAGTTTTCAAAATGAAAGACTATTTTTGGAATCAATTTGTAGATTTGATTTATATATTGAAAGGAAGATTGTTCACAGAAGAATTGTTGACCCAAAAATATTCACAATGTTGCATACATCAGACCAGTTTTTTGTTTACGGTAACAAAATGAAAGTTGATGGGGGCAATGTTAAGTTTTGCGAAAGTAAGTCGAACGCGGTAGATGCCATGGAAGAGGCAAACACAAATGCGCATGTTTTCAAAATTGAAAATAATGCCATTCAATGGGTCCAGTCCAAAGGGAGCATTGCCCATCTTCAAGAGTATTTGATTCCCAAAACAGTGGATAGTGCAAAGATACTAGACGACAAAATAGTTATTATATCAGGCGAACCAGGTCAAGGGAAGTCGACAATCGTTAAAAAAATGTTTTTGAAATGTTACCACGATCCAAACCACTGGATGGTCGCAATTCCATTGCAATTAGCTAACTTTGATTGTATCAATGATATTACGATTAACTCTGCAGCCCAATTTATTTTGAGTCCATGTGATAATAACGGCGAATCCATTTTGCAAGTCTTATCATTTTGCCTGAACTACAAAACAAACCTTCCGATCTATCTTATGTTTGATGGTTATGACCAAATCAAAAATTCGGCGTCGAGAAACCAATTCATCAAACTAATCAATTTTCTGAAACGTAACGCAAATGCCAACATTCTGATAACAACACAAAATTATCTAGCATCAGAATTGGAAAATGGAGTTTCGGTGCCAGCCTCATATTTCGATTCCTGTGACTTGGAAGTGAGCGTCATTGACTATTTGAGCAAATTTTGGGAAAGCTGTACACAAATCTTTGAAAATGCAAATATAGAGGAACTCAAATCTAATGCTTCAATTTTGCTCTCTTCTGCCGGAAATATCTTTGGGGAAGAGATTTCGAGATTTTTGGGTAAGTAAATAAATCAGTCTTTATTTTTAAGTTTTCTGCAAAATAACTTTTTCTAGTAGTTTACTTTCCTTTATTTCTGATCATGTCGGTATCAATATCAGTAGGAAAAATCTCATTATCCTCCTCATATTTGTGAATGGTTGCGCCATTTTGTGCCAGTAAATTTGAATTTCCGATGTCGGCCATTTTGTTGCGGTAAATTTAAGTTTGAATTAGTGCGGGAGATTTGAATTTTTGAATTTCCCAGTGTCTATCATTTTGTAGTGTGTGCGGGGAATATGAATTTTTTACTGTGATTGGTTGTGTCATTTTAAATATACACGGTGTAATGATAGTTATATACAGGGTATTTGATATCAATGTTTTTTTACCAGTGTCAATAGATCATTAACTGATCGGGCATTTTATTCCGATGAGACCAAATTGAATTGAATTTGAAAATATATATACAGGGTGTAATGATAGTTTTACATAAGGTGTTTGTGTTCGTCCATTTTGTCGCTTGCTCATGTCAGTAAAATTCCTTTTATCACGTTTGATGAGTAACTGTCGAGAATTTTTTCGACTATCTCTACTCCATGAAGCAGTTCAATGATACATTAACCTTTGACCCAGATATACTGGAGCAGATAACAGGTCAGATTTCATTGGTTAAAGCCAATGAGTCTACCAAACACCCGCCTTGGATGCTTAGCTTCACCACAGAAAATTGCAACTACTAAGCCCCACCACCACGACAAGATGCATCCTATGGTGGGGAAACAAGTTACGTAATATCTGTGGTACATAAAATACAGTGCAGTGGTAGTTGTTGTAAATTGGATATATCAGGGTTGTAAAAAAAAAAGAGAAATACGCATTTTTTAGTAGTTATGTCAATTATTTAATTTGTATCGTGAAAAGAAATATAAAACCCAAAAGAAAACGGGTAGTTTTCATCAAGCTTTGTTAACATTTTATGGCGACCGTGACAGGACACCGGGTTTGAGTGTTTTGGCTACGATATTTGTGTTAAATTGACATTTTAGTGGTGCGTTCGATTTCCGCGAAAAATGGAGCAACAAAGGCGATACCGCGACGTATGTCGTGATAGCTTTATGCGGGCCACCGACAAGCTACGGGGGTTATTAACTAAAACTCCTATAGATAGTGTTGCGTTGAAGGTGGCGGTTGAAATGCTGCGGCTTAAGCATTCAACTTTACAAAAAGCCGACGATGAAATAACAACGCTGTTGATGGGTGAGGCGGCCGACAGAGACGTCCTGGGAGCCGAACAAGCTACTTGCGCAGAATTCATGGAACAGTTCCTTGAGTTACAGCAGCAGGTGAGCGACCTAACCTCCAAGCCATCGACAGCAGCCGTTCCTTCCAGTGGCATCGGTAACAATGGGGTAAATCTTTACAACATACAAGGTAGGAGATTTATTACCGAAAGATTTTAAAAAATTTGATGGGAACGTGCGTGAATGGCTCGCGTTTTGGGCACAATTTGTGAAAATTCATCATCATACAGAACTCGATGAAATCGATAAAATTAGTTACTTAATACAAGCCACAGTTGCTGGCAGCCGTGCACGGCAGGTCGTAGAAAGCTACCCTGTGATGGCCGGTAACTATTCAAAAATTATAGACTCGTTAAAATCGCGGTACGGTCGAGAGGACTTGTTAATCGAAGTTTATGTACGCGAATTGTTGAAGTTGATTATTCAGAACGCGACTTCGACGCGAGAAATTGACTTAGTATCTCTCTACGATAAATTGGAAACTCAGTTGAGAGCGCTGGAGACGCTAGGCGTAACCACCGAGAAGTGCGCAGCAATGTTATTCCCACTTATTGAGTCGTGCTTGCCAGAGGAACTTCTTAGAGTGTGGCAAAAGGGCCGCGAACGCGTCTATAGCAAATTTATCAGATGCAATTCAGCGTGAAGAGATAAAACCTGCTAGGCGTTTAGCCAATTTAATGGCCTTCCTAAAAAGAGAAGTAGAGGGCGAGGAGCGCATTGCACTCGCTGCTGAGGGTTTTGGTATCTCTTCGGGAGGGAAAGCTAGCGTACGTAAACAATCCGGGAATGACTCGTACTGTAGATTAAGTCCTACGTTTAAGAAAAAGGTGATATCGCAAAACGCTGAACCGATAGCGACAGCCGCGGGGTTAGTAGTCCAAGATGGTTTGAGCTGTGTTTTTTGCGATAAAAATCACGAAAGTACAATGTGTGTTAAAGCTCAAAATTTTTCGCTAGAACAGCGCAAAGATATAGTAAAAAAGAAAGGGGCATGTTTTCGATGCCTGCGGGGTGGTCATAGCGTCAAGAGATGCCGCGCCACCGTAAAATGCATTATTTGTAAAAAGGAGCACGTACCCTTAATGTGTTCTACATTAACGGATCTGCAAGTAGCATCAAAACCAGAAGCAAATAATGCGCATGACAAATCGAAAGCGGCTAATCTACCTGAACAAGCCAAATCTGAGGATCTCGCGAATTTCACGTCAAGCCACGTTTTTCTGCAAACTTTTAGAGTCAATATTCGACATAACGGTGGCGAACGTGACGTGCGAGTACTAATCGACAACGGATCTCAAAGATCCTATATACTAAAAAGCACCAGCGACGCGTTAGGTCTTGAAGTAAAAAGACACGCGACGATAGCGCATGGGTTGTTTGGTGGAACAACAATAGAACGTAATCATTCTTGTTACGACGTTACGTTGGTAAAGGGAGATTACTCCCGTACAGTAGAGGTATTGGATCAACCGACTATTTGTCATCCTATTCCGCCGGTATTTTATGGACCGTGGATTAAGGAGTTGAAACGTATTGGGATTTCTTTGTCTGATGTAAAAGATTCCTCGCCGATAGAAATACTTCTAGGCGCAGACGTGGCAGGTCATATTTACACAGGAAAGAGGGAAGTTTTAGAATGTGGAATGGTAGCGGTTGAAACTGTATTCGGATGGACGCTCATGAGAAAAATAGACAGCCAGCGATTTAAATCAAACATGGAAATATCTTGTCTAGTTTCTGACAAAACAGTGACTTCGCTGTGGGAACTCGACGTACTTGGGATACGAGATCCTGTCGAGAAAAAACGAAGCGAGGAGGAGTTTCGAGAAGTAAAGGAGTGCTTCGAGAAAACTCTACAAGTTGACGGAGAAGGGCGTTATGAAGTGCGACTTCCGTGGGTAGCGGATCACTCTCCTTTATCCAGCAATTACGAGATTGCAAAAAGGCGATTGAGTTTGACATTAAGAAATTTGGAAAACACCCAACTACACCAAGCCTACGACCAGGTTTTTTGTGAATGGCAATCGGTAGGAGTAATCGAGACAGTTGTTGGGGAGGTGGATCATCAACGAGGGCACTATCTGCCACACAGGCCTGTCGTGAAGGAAAATTCGACAACAAAAATTCGTCCGGTGTTCGACGCATCAGCGTGTTCGAAAATTTCACCGTCGTTAAATAATTGCTTAAGCAAGGGTGTCAATTTGATAGAATTGATCCCATCGATAATTCTGCGATTTCGTGAACTTAAAATCGGAGTGATTTCTGATATCCGAAAGGCGTTCTTACAAATTGGAGTTCACGAACCGGACAGAGAATTTCTAAAATTTTTATGGGTTGATAAACAGGGCAATGAAAAGGTTTATCGACATAGAAGAGTAGTTTTCGGTGTAAGTAGCAGTCCGTTTTTGTTAGCAGCTACAATCGAACATCACCTAGAAAAATGTCTCGAAAAATGCGACACACCGAATCCCTCTTATTCAAAAGACACGATCACGCGGTTAAATCAGAGTTTCTATGTGGATAATTGCGTGACCAGCGTAAAGGACATGGTGACTCTCGATAAGTTCATAAAAGAGGCCACCGAAGTAATGGCGGAAGCGAAGTTTGATCTTCGAGGGTGGGAGCACACGAGTTTGGACGAACCTCCTACTCACAGCGTTTCTGTGTTGGGTTTGAAATGGCATCGAGAGAAAGACGTATTGACAGTCAACGGCTTTTCAATCAAAGAATTGATCCAATCGGAAAAGTTCCGCGTGACGAAAAGACTCATGTTATCCATCGCTCAGAAACTCTACGATCCTATAGGGTTTACCAGTCCCGTCACTCTAAGACCAAAAATCCTGTTACAACAATTATGGGAAAAACAACTGCAATGGGATGAGGAAGTCGACGAGGTGACGAGAAAAGCGTTTATGGAATGGGCGGAAGAATTAAAATACTTGGAGAGAATTGAGATACCACGGTGGATTGGGTTCGAGTCGAATACATCGCAACCATGGAGTCTACATGTATTTACAGACGCGAGTAAAAAGGCCTATGCCGCAGTGATATTTCTGCGCATAGAGCAAGAAGGAGAGGTAAAAATACATCTCCTAGCGACAAAATCGAGAGTCACGCCTATCAAGCCAACTACCATTCCTAGACTGGAACTCTTGGGCGCTACGATCGGTGTTCGTTTGTGTGACACAGTTAAAAAAGACCTAAAAGGCGACGGAAAGTGTTTTTATTGGACCGACTCCACTACCGTTCTTTCGTGGATACGACGAAAAGAAGAATGGACGGTTTTTGTGAGAAATAGGGTCAATGAAATTCGTCAGAATTCGGCGATCGATTCATGGAGACATGTGCCAGGGCACTTAAATCCGGCTGATCTGCCTTCCCGAGGATGCACACCGCAACAATTGTGCGAAAAACGTTGGTGGGAGGGGCCATCATGGCTGAGGGATGAGCCGGCAGAATGGCCTTCGGAACCAGTCGCATATGACGAGAATGAAATCACTGCAGAGAGGACGAAATCAACAGTATCGAGCTTGATGGTTACTGAGAACTTAGCTAGTTCAGATTTTACGTTATTTGAGGATTTCGAGAGAATAGTACGTCAAGTTGGGGGGATGCTGCGTTTCAAAAATAATGTTAGGAAAAAATTGAAGGAAAAGGCGGCAGATCGACAAGTCGCTAAAATCAAAGAACCATTAACATTGACGGTAAGGATGGAAGCTCTTTCGGTGGAGGAACTACAGACGGCCGAAAACCTCATTTTGAAAATAAGCCAGATGGAATCGTTTGGAGATAGAAATGACGCTTTAAATGGTTTAACCGTAATATGTGACGAATTCGGTTTGCTACGTGTTAGAACTCAAGTCTCGAATAGACCAGACGCTGAAAATTTTAGATTTCCCATTTTGCTGTCAGGAAAGCATGTTTTTGTTCAACGTCTGATAACGCTCCAACATGTAAAATCTTGTCATGCGGGAGCACAAAACCTGTTGAGTATCCTTAGGGAGAAATACTGGATTTTGGGAGGCAGGAGAAGAGTGCGCGCGGTAATATCGTCTTGCGTTGTGTGCAAACGGCAGGACGCGAAACCCTTTGTAGTGAAATCTCCGGCGTTGCCGATCGACCGAGTTCGTGACGCAGAAACTTTTGAGATTACTGGAGTTGATTTGGCTGGGCCGTTATTCTTGAGGGGCGGTGAAAAAGCGTGGGTTTGTTTGTTTACCTGCGCGGTGTACAGGGCTGTCCATCTAGAACTGGTTTCGTCGTTATCGACCGCGAGTTTTATACAAGCGTTCCGACGGTTCATCGCGCGACGTGGAAGGCCAAAGACTGTTTATAGTGACAACGGCACCAACTTCGTAGGCGCCGAAAGCAGCCTAACGTCGGTAGAATGGGAAAAGATTGATCGGTACGCGAATGCACAACGAATTACTTGGAAGTTTAACCCCCCGAGTGCACCATGGTGGGGTGGTTTTTGGGAGAGAATGGTTGGGTTATTAAAGCGTTTGTTGAGAAAGGTTTTGGGTAGTGCATGTCTCGATTATGAGAACATGAACACAGTGTTATGTGATTGCGAGGCTGTAATTAACGCGCGGCCTATAACCTATTCGTATAATAATCCCTCAGACCCTACTCCCTTGACTCCGGCGATGTTTTTAGGAGACAATCGCGCAAGTGGAGTAACTGATTGTGACAGTGTTGATCGAAAGTCGTTGGATCGGAAAATCCGTCATGCGCAAAAGGTGCGGGATGACTTACGGCAACGATTTAGATCAGAGTATCTAGGACAATTAAAAATCGCCTTGAAAAAACGACTCACCCGGGCTATTAAAATTGGCGAAGTAGTGTTGGTCGGTAGCGAAAAAACAAAACGCGTAAACTGGCCTTTAGGCCGAGTAGTGGAACTAATCCCCGGCAAAGACGGAATTGTGCGGGTAGTGAGAATCGATACTGCGAACGGGCAGTTGTTGAGGCCCGTCCAGCGGTTGTACCCACTGGAAGTGGATAGTGTAAGCATCAAACCGCAAGGGGAGGACAACGTCGATCAGCCTGAGGGAGAACTGCAAGTTGATACTTCTCATCAAAAAGACAGCGAAGAAGTGAGCGACGAAAGTGACAGTGCGGGAGTGACGAGCACTAAAATGCTCAAAGCAGAGTACCCGAGTTACGTACCAAGTGCGGCCGACAAGTGCGGAAGCCGGCGAAGTACAGACAATGAATGTACAATTTTCTTTAGATTGTAGTTTTGTTCAGTTTTAGTTAGCATGCGTAATTATAGTTATAGTACTACGTATATTTGTCAGATTGAACTCAGTTTGTGTGCGACGCTCATTGATGTCATGACGTCACAGGTGGGAGAATGTTGTAAATTGGATATATCAGGGTTGTAAAAACAAAAGAGGAGAAATACGCATTTTTTAGTAGTTATGTCAATTATTTAATTTGTATCGTGAAAAGAAATATAAAACCCAAAAGAAAACGGGTAGTTTTCAGCAAGCTTTGTTAACACAGTAGTTATAAATTGGTCTCGTTTCACGGTCTATAGTGCGCGATGGTAGAGTAGACGCCAAATGAAGCCATCAAGCGCCATACGACGAATATAAAATGAAATCATACCTCTATTGAAGTCGTACAATACGTTGTACGTGATAATGCAGTGTAGTATTAAAGTTTGTGGACAAATCAATCATAAATTTGCAAGAAATCGGGTATCCGTCTGTCAAGCAATTGAAAAAAGAAACACAAACGTATCGCTCTCTGACAAATTCAAATTTACCGCAACAAAATGGCAGAGATCTGGAAATTCAAATAATTCAAATCTCACATCAATGAATACAGACGTACTAATTAATCCCTTATTATGCAAACTAATTTCACTCCTTATAAACAAGCATTCTGTTACAGCTATTCCTCTTCACGTAAGAATATTGGCAGAGCTTATGAAGCCCAATTCAATCAGTCCCTCTACGGAATTACTCCAATTCAACGATATTCTAGTTCCCTACCAAAAGCTAATTGAAGTCCGCTATGATATTTACTTCAAACGTAACAATTTTCCGGACAACAAGATATTAAAGCAGTTTACCGTTTTCGGCATTTTCGAAAAATTGCACAATTTGGCAATTAAACGATTAATCGATATTGAATTGAACTTTTCGGAATACGACTTCATGCAAGAATTGAATAAAGTGGGATTAGTTCAGTCGAATCATGTTGGCGACATTTCGTTTCTCCATGACTCGCTCAGGGATTACTTCGTAGCGCATTTCATCTATCTTTGGTTGGAAAATAAGGCGGCTAATAACGTATGGGACGTTAAATATTTCATAGCGCATATTCTTGTGAGACCACTGCATAAAGGAATTAGGATGTTTCTGAATTGCCATCTGCAAAGTGCCAAAATTGCGGTAACAGTGTTAAACGCATGCAAGGACGCAGTTAGTGAGTCGCTCAAACAAAATAAATTAGTTTGTGATGACGGCAACACATTCTTCCATACCGCTGTAGAGGAAAGGTTGGATTTCGAGGTTGGACGCCTACTAATGGAAGTTACTTCTGAAGATTCCTTTACAGAATTACTTTCTAAGAGAAATAACAATCAGAAAACCGCGCTGTTTTTAATCATTGAAAACATTCATGAACATCACATTAAATCTGATATGCTAAAACTATTTTTGGAAAAAATGAGCTTTCTCTCAACTGAAAGTACAAAAATAATACTTCTATCAACACTGTTTACATCCCACACCATCGAAGAGCATTTGGAGATAATTTCCCAGAATGCATCTTGCTATAACATTATTTCAGAAACCATCGCAAAAATTAGAAAGTCGCTCAAACAAAAAGATGCCTTTCTTGAGGCTTGCGCTCTTAATAAATTTAAGGATTTGAAACTAATCTTAGAACGCGAAAGAGATAAAGAGACCAGGAAACATTTGGCACAAATTACAAACGGTTTTAAAGAAACTGGTTTGCATATAACATCAAGTAAAGAAATATTACAGTTATTGTTAGACCACGGGGTAGATATTAACACTCGAGATCATCACGGACTTACACCTTTAGCACGTGCGATCAAGAATGACAAAGGTACCGAGATCTTTAATTTTTTTGTTAGTAAGAGTGCAGACATTACACTAACGGATACGTTCGGTAATGCACCATTTTTGCATGCGATAAAGCAAGGGAATTCCGATATATTGAGGTATTTTATGAAATCGGGGCAAATTGATGTAAATCAGTGTAACGTTTTCTCCGCAACCTTCCTGATGGCCGCTTGCAGAACTGAAAATGATGGCGTGGTAAGGTGGCTTTTAGACAAAGGGGCGGATATAAATGCGGTGGATTTGGGTAATTTATCTGCGCTATTTCATCGTGTGAAATCTAACCGAAGTAAGTTAATAAAATTCCTCAAGACGAAAGGGGCTAATGTTAACATACAAGACGGTTATGGAAATACGCCTCTGTTATACAGTATAAAAAAGTCAAATTGGAATATGGTCAATCTGTTAGTGGATATCCATTCTGATCCGTCCATCTGTAATAATATTGGTCAGCATCCTGTGAAGATATTGATAGAAAAGCAGAAGGCCGGAATTATTGAGAAGATTTTTAAAGTGGGGTTAGCTACTTTAAGTGATTTGCAAGATGTACTTGGAAAATCAGAAACCGAGTATCTATACAAGTATGTGTTGAAAGATGTTGTGCCCATTACGTGAAATTCTCTGCCTATGTTATTTCTATAAGCCTCAAAATTTAATTGTCCACAAGAGGAAAGGTATAATTATACCACGGTTTAGTACCAAGAACCCAATAACAGTTTTAAATGTATACCTAATCAGCTCACCAAGAAATAATAAACATTAGTGGGAAATTAAATTACTTTACACTACAAGTACCTACTTAAGTAGAAGCAAAAAACATACGACAGAGGATGGCTTCTGAGTGTCAGTTTTTCACAGATGTTAGGTGTAGCCTACCGCTATAAATGTTACGTCAGTTAACTTAAATGGAAAACAACACTTGCACTAGGTACCTACATCACTGTAGAGCGCTATGCGCGCCTATCTGATGTTTCCATAAGAACTGACAACAATATTTTTCTTTTTGCTTTCAAAACTGTCAGTTTTGTTTTTTTAACTTTAAAAACTGATGACCAAAAAGTTCATGTTCGCTCCTCACTTGTTAGATACACGTATAACAAAGAGTATCCATACTCTTTGAACTATAGTAACTATAACTGATCAAATGATGATGCATACGAGAGAATTAAAGAAATATTTTTGTTTATAACTATAAAGATCCGTCTTGAAAAAAACTCCATTCAAGTTGAAAGGTAAATTATTATTAACATTACGTCGATCGTATAACTTGTACATTATCCCATTACTGACAATCAGTATTATATGGTATTAGTATTACCTATCCCAGCAACGTTCTTTTTTTTGTTTTTATGATTCTTTTTTTAATTGTATATTTTTTGTATCTAATAAAAAATCCGGTAGTTCAGTTATTGTCAAAACTTTTAAATAGATCAAACTTCATCAATGAATTTGAAAGATCTTCCACAAGTGGATATAGTTAATCTCGTATGATGCTGATGTACGAACAGAAGAACTGCAGCTTTCCTAATTGATACGTACGACCACGTTTACAAAAATCAAAAACTATCCATTTTAAAGGACGTGATGTGATATATTAATTGCGCATGATTAGCTCTAACGATGCATTCCAATATATATATATATATTTATTTATTTGCCTTTTATTTTTGAGTGGGCGGAGTTTCAGCCAAGGCTGCTCTACAAACCCAACCCACTGGCCACTATTCATTTACAAACATCCATGCCCGAACCCGGATTCGAACCAGGGACTCTTAGCACCACATTCCAGTTTCAACTGAACTGCGCCACACGGACAGGCATAACATTTGCGTGCATTGCACCGCTGCCCCCGCTAAGGGCGATGCACCTCACTTTTCGGGCACCTATCAGCCTGTAACCACAGATTTAAATATACTATATGTAAATTTTTTTTATCCATTTATTTATTTATATAACTTACATGTATTTAATAAAAAAAAAAGGTTTTAAGATTTAAGAAAGGAAGAAAATTTCGTTTAAAGATATTGTAGAAGGGAAAGTGCCCATAATACTAGCGGCATTGCCGCGCTGAATGGCCAGACTAATTTTTTGAATAAGAAATGTTTTTGAACGGTGCTCTACCTGTGGCATTTTTCAATTTCTTTCCTAAAGTATTTACAAATTGCATAGCTTCCGTACACCACGGTCCAAGGGTTTCAACAGCGAAAGGTAAAAACTATATGTAAATTTTATTTATTTATTTAAATATACTATATTTAAATCTGTTCTGTAACTACAAAGTTTTTCCAACTAAGATTCGGCATTTATAATACCGGAGATAACCCTGATGCTCTCAGAGAGCGTGATAATGGAGAGTGACTCGCCTGGAGGACTCGGGTGATTGATGCAGTCAATAATGATCGCGATAAGAAGAGACTTGTAGTTGACTACTCCGCAATTTGATGCATATCCCCTACCAAATGTGGAACTCCTGACCAATAAAATAACAGCCTCTGCATCTCTCCAGAGTAATATACGGCCTTAGAAGCATACGGCTGTCTGCTCAGGTTTAGGTATTAGAATATATTTTTCAGAGTTACCTAATGGAGTAACCGAATTCCCAAGAAAGATGACAGAATCATTACAATAGAAAAACTGGAGTGGGTACACAGCTATTTATATAAGGTTTGCTGTGATCAATAAGAAGAAATGGTTCCATCCTCAGAGGAATAAATATATTCCTCTGAGGTTCCATCCATTGCTTTCTATTGAGGCGGTGCATTGCGTCAGACGCTTCATAGGAAACGTATTATACTTTCATAGTGCGTTTGTCACTGTAAAAGTTATAGGCACAGAGTGGTTATAGGTAACTTTTGCCATTGTCAAAGTGACAATTGCACTGCGGCTTATGCGATTTTTTATACATGAATTGAATTGTCATTTAAAAGTAGACGTAGGTAAAAACAATACACGTAAATCCCTATGTAAATATCACTGCATATGCTACCAAGCGAGTAGACAACAAAAAATGTCTGTCAATGTGCTAGCCCCCTGTTATTTTCTCTCTAATATCACTTTAAAATCAATGGCGGACGTTTATTAATAAACCTTTGTTTGTTTTTTGTCAACAATTTGAAAAATTGCTTAAAAATAGATTGGACTGCTCAACGGCCGTATGACTTCGACTCTACGCAAACAGAAAATTGCGGTAACAGACATTTACTAATCATTGCACAAACTGTGTTTGCTCTCAGTAGTCATCTGTCACCCCAAGTTACAATATCCACAAGAAAAAAAAAGGTTGCCGTTACAGTACCAGATTTTCCAAAGAGCATGTAAGGTTGTCTTTGCATCCCTTAGCTTATTTCACCCAGATATGATAAAATATTTTCTCTCCAGTTTGTGAACACGCCAATTTGTTGTCGAAATTGAATATCAAAATCAGAAACGGCTATTTAAAAAGCAGAAAAGTTATAATTTCAATTCTTCAAAGCAAAAGATGTTGACCCTTCCCCATCACAGAAATAGCGAACAAAAACATTTTTCTTTTACCGAAGTAGTAAAATCGTTTACCATTCCAGTAGCTTTTGGATATATGGGTTGTCATGAATAAAAAGCACAAAATTAATTCTTCCCATAATATTATTAAGGTCTGTTGTATTAAACCTTGCATATCTAATAGTACTTTTTACAAATTACGTACTAGTCACAACTGAAAGGAATAACAAAAGAAACACCAAATAATAAACCATAATTAGAAATTGTTTTTACACCAATCGATTTTGCAAAACATAAAAACTACACAAAATAATTTATTTATAGATATCAAATAGTAAATGTCATTGTATTTATTTATAAATAAACCTCTCTGCATTTCAGTCGTCCTCTTCGGGAAAATCTTCATCTGTAGTGTACTCCGATTCGTGCGCCTCATCTTCTGCGGGTCCTTCTTCTTCCGAATCCTCAAACTCCCACTGTGGATGTTCGGTAATCTCCGCAGGAGCTTCTTTTATATCCAGCTTAATATCTTTTTGCTGATTAAAGCCAATGTACGAGTCTGACCTCAGGCACACTGTGACTGTATAGACACCTGTCCAAATGGGTGCTGTGAACTAAAAGATTACTAATTAGCTTCACCTACCGATACAATGAATAAAGCAAGTACCTTTAGCTGACACTCTTCTTTATCGATTAGATCTGTTACATGATAAGGTGCGGTGAGTAATGTGCGAGACTTGCGATCGCAGATGTATGTCCACCAGTGCTCCTGTTTATCATTGGGGAACAAGGGACTATGCACCGTGTGGGAAACTTTGGATCTGCCTTCCAGTACTTTCTCTCGTTTATGAAGTTTCTGTTGAAACTTCTCCCACTCCTTGAACGACAATTAAACAGTCGATATCCAACTACACAATGAGATTACCTGATCATCATCTTCAACCCCCGATTTCACTTCTTCTTCTGAAGATCTATCAGCGTTATCATTGGTATCTTCTAAATCACTAACATCTGAATCTTCACTCTCGTCATCCTTGGCTTTCACCTTCTCTTCTTTGGGTTTAGCTTTTTCGACCACTGGTGATTCCTCCGGCTTTGGCTTAACAACGTTATTAGCAACCTTACTCTGTTGCTTATTGCTCCTCTTGGTCGTTTTTTTCGAACCACCTTTCTTTTGTTTCATCCAGGCCGGCCTTTTCCCAACCGACTCGTTTTCATTCTCCGCATCCCCACCCGCCTCTTTTGGTTCAGCTTCAACACCATTTTCTGTTATCGTTTGGACCTCGGGGACCGTCTGATCTCCGAATAACATACTCATATCGTGCCTAATTAAGGTCACAGTGACCGTTACAATAGCACCTGCAGTCACCTCGGTGGGATTTTCATCGTCGATTACTAAAATTTGGTTTGAATTAGATAAATAGAATTCGGAACAGAGGATGGATTACCTTCACATTTAACTTGGAAATCGATGTACGGCATTCTGCCTAACACTTTCATTACGTCTTCGAATTCTTCCGTTGTTAAATTTCTGAGGATGTTTCTTCGTTCTTCCGCTTTTAATTGCGCAAACTCTTGTAACGACTTTATTGGCCTCTAAAAGATCATTGATTTTATAACCAAATAATACCATAGAAGTATAATAGTTAACAAAGCATCAATTCATATTTGGCAAATAATCGCCTATAGGTGTATGAGTAATATGAAAAGTAAAGGTATAGTGGAGCGAAATCGGGCAAAAAAGTCGTCTAGAAATGGGAAAAAATTTTTTGACGGTATAACAAGATCAGACCTAGTACAGTATGTAGATATTGTAATTCTGCATCCGAAATGGTCTTTTACGACATTTTACGGTGGTCATGACATTTTTTATAGTTAAAAAACCACTCAAAAGTGTCTTCATAAAAATTTATGTTTTTAGAGATTTACCCCGGAATATCTCGGCTCCCGCATGAGATATTGCTATAATTGTTTCAGTTCTATAATGTCAAATAGTAAGCGCTTATAACTATGCCTATTACATCGAAAACATGATATAACTACATTATGATAATTGTCATCAAAGTCGATAAATCGATTATTGAGAAGCGTAAACTTCACTCTGCGAGAAACTTTTTTTTATTATTTGAGGAATCTCTATACATGTATCGGACGAAATGTAGCTGATAGTCACCAAAAGTTTTTGGTGAAAGAATTTTAGTGATAGGCTGATAGTTTCTCGCAGAGTGAAGTTTATGCTTCTCAATAATCGATTTATCGACTTTGATGACAATTATCATAATGTAGTTATATCATGTTTTCGATGTAATAAGCATAGTTAGAAGCGCTTACTATTTGGCATTATAGAACTGAAACAATTATAGCAATATCTCGTGCGGGAGCCGAGATATTCCGGGGTAAATCTCTAATTTTTATGAAGACACTTTTGAGTGGTTTTTTACTATAAAAAATGTCATGACCACCGGAAAATGTTGTAAAAGACCATTTCGGATGCATAATTATAATATCTACATACTCTACTAGGTCTGATCTTGTTATACCTCGAAAAACAATTTTGTCACATTTTTGGCCCGATTTCGCTCTACTAGTATACCTAAAACCGTTATTCTCCATGTGATAGAAGCAGACAGAAATATTAGTTACATTAATTTTATTTAAGAGTAGTCTTGACTTAATTTTTTAGGCAACTCTTTTTCAATGTGTTTGTTTACACATTAAGATTGCTAAAAAATGTCTTTCACTAGGTAAACAGATGGACGAAAGTTGACCTTATGTGGGATCTTGGACTATTTCTGGCTCACATAATGTCCATTTTCCACTACTTCAGAATTGAGAAAAGTTTTTTTTAAAGCATATGACATGCTAGTCAAGTGGGCGGAGTCCAAAAATGTCAGATGCCTTAGAAAGAAGCCGCTGACTGAGGGGTTCATATCTCGGTTCATATCCTCACAAAAGATTAAGGAGGCTAGGGATAGAGGATAGGCAACACACAATGGTCACTGAAATTTGCAATAAAAGTCGAAACTTTTGAGTAATTTTTGAAGCCCAAATATTAATTCTAACTAGAGGTCTTATCGGAAATTGATAGAGATATAGAAAGTCATTAAATGTAGCGATTTATTTTTTTGATAAAATTATTTAAGTCGTGTATAAATGATAATCTTGAATTTACTAAGAACGCGAATACTGGAATATTTAAAAAGTAAATCCGTACAATTTATCTAGTAACTAAGTGGATTAAAAAAATATATTACGAACTGCTTCAAATTATGAAATAAAACGTAATTTTTACTCAAAAGTTTATATAAAATATAGCGACGGAAGAAATGCAATACCTTCCATACAATGACGATAGGCAACTCAGGTAGCACTTTTACCTGGAAAATATTAACACCTAATGACCATTATACTTATATACAATGGTTTATGACCCTATTAGACCAGTAACAAAAGAATCTCAATGCCTTCCATTTATTCGTCTATTAGTACCAACGATAATTGACTGATAATTAAAAAAATATTGTACATCAATAAATGTAATATTCAGGAGTAACAACGTTTTAATTTTTTAGACCCGTTTCATACATCTTTTTCATACATTTTATGTAGGTGTATTGTTACCTACTTATCAAAAAAGCAATTTAATAATATCGATTACATAACACCAAATTATGTACAATTTGGACGATGTACCTATTATAGATAAACATAAAGAATTGTTTGTTGTCGGCACCTTCTTGAATCTAGCAGCTCTGTTAAAAAACTGTTCATACAAAAATTGATAATCTTGTGTCTTACATACTTTAGGTGACAAATCTCAACGAAAATTTCAACCAGCAATTTTGTCGACCAATGAAATGCGGATTTCGTGTCACATTTCCATGGCAACCAAGGAATTTATCGTCAATTTTTTGACGTAAAAAGGTAATAATGTTTTGACATAAAACGTCACTTTTTCGTTGAGGGTCACTATGGTGTGAAATTTTCTTACCGAATACCACAGTGCTTGAATAGAATTTTTTTATTGCTCACGAATATTTTGCGAAAGTTGAAATATTTGTGAGCTCGAAAAGTTTCCGGAAATAGCAAGTAGTATTACAAGTGATAATTTTTTATTTCAGCATGTCGTTAGTAAAAAATTGTCAAAGTCCTCGTGTGAGATCTTGTCGAAGCTACCACATTCCCTTCGTCAGTACTCGCGTCCGACGTCCCGTGCATCCCCAATTTACGTTTGAAGTTTTACTCCACCATCAGTAAGATCTTGGCGGGGGCCACCACATTTCAGATTGTTTTCAAAATGGTGCCGTTGGAAAGATCTTGTAAACGGACACAACAACTGCGTGGCGAAAATTTGTTTTTTTCCTGGGTACAAAATTAACCTCATTTTACAAGGCGCACGTCTGCGAGGGGTAGTTGACTTAGGGCGCCCAAAAGGTATCTTCCTCTGCGAATTTTGTTTCGGAAAGCTCGAATCGCGATCTCTCTTTCTCGTGTGGCTAATAGAGCTATGAGAAGTGCCCCAAAAATTGAGAACTATTTTGTGGAGAGTTTTTAGCAAAATTCATCTAAATGCGAATTGTGGGTGAACGGGACATCGGAAGCGGGTACCGACAAAGGGATTGTGTTAGTTTGCGATAAGATCTTTTTGATGGTGGCTAATACAATACTGATCTGCCACACAAAAATGCGCTGATCTCTCTTCGATCCCACACGAGGACTTTGATAATTTTGTAATCTACCTATGCTTTTGATAATTCCACTGTAGGTTTGACGGCTAGCCAAATAAACTATTTTCGTAAAGCATCAGGCGAATGTCGTGTTGGAATTGGAAAATTTCCGAAAATCTATCAAAACATTTTTTGTAATGAAAAATGAGTCATTTATTTTGTTGTAAATTAGATCAGAATTCAGATATATAATTTGATAAATGGGGGAAGGTTGAAAACGCAGCAAATACCGGGCTACATTGCGGAAGCCATGCGAAATATCGAAAACTGTTCATCTAATCGAAGAAAAGTACTATTCTTACATCCGCGCACCTGTGAAAATCGTTATCATATAAATTTAGAAATCTATGGGGCCGTAGTTTGTTCGGATGTGATAATTGTTTAAATAAATTTGTGCTATGAACCACAAAAATTGAAGACCAGTTTTTCTTGTTTCGGAAATTGTTCCCTTCATTACCCAAGTCCAAATCTCAAAAAGTCATTATTGTAAATCCCTATATAGGAAGTAAGTAGGAATGATGTCTTACATTAGTAATATTTTTATATAGGTATGTAGAGCTTTCAGCTTTGATTTCCTATTCTATATTATTCAAAGGTTTCCAGTATTAGTAAAACTGTAAAACATCCGGAGAAAGTTGAAATTCCATAAATCAGTTACTTTTGTTGAATAGCCGCTAATGAGGGTCTGGAATCTGGTTTTATTGTAGGAAGATGAGGTCATTTGCAGGTAGCTTATGCCTGGTGAAACTTGTCGAATGGCACGATTGGTTGCCTATATAATTATTTGCGTAGGCGCAGCTTAAATTTTGAATGGCCTGTCCCTAGCCGCCTTAATGTTTTCCTACTTAACATCCAAAGCCAACGCTATTTTGAGCGCATTTATGCAAAGGAAAACATTAATAGGGAATATGCATGTGGTTTAAATTTACTTGATTCTTTCTCCAGCAAATATTTATTGTCCTGACATTATACTTAAACCATTAGTTTCTTATTTAGTTTGTTTTTAATTGCTAAAAATGTTAATTCAAAAGTGCAAAATAAGCGAACGAAATTCAAATTTGCGAAACGCTTCACTATTGGACGAATGAAAGTGACGTCAAATACCACGCGATCGCATTTGTTGTGTCAATATTCAATATTAGTGCAGTCAAATTACAGTTTGGGCAGATTGAGCCGAAATCAAGTGTCTTCTATGTAAAAACATCCGCTGAATCCGAAACCCATAGTCCCACTAGCCGAAAACTCCCGGAATATATTGTTATGTATAAACAAAAAACGATGAAAAAATGGCAAGATGTCGTTTCTTTTCGCATTTGACTTCAATTATCTCGTTAACTATTACTCTAAGGGAAAAAATGAACAGAAATGAATTGGTTTAGAATTGAATTTTCTATAAGATACAATGGGTATGAAACGTTCATTTTCAAATGTTATTGTTTTTTATGGAAAAATATAAAAAAGCAATCCCGAAGATGATCAATTGGTTGTTACTAAGTAAAATTCATCCGATTTTTTTGAAAAACCGTATTTGGTCACTTCTTTTGATAACAAAACAATATGACAAACCCGATCACTGTAAATTTGATAGTTATTGCATAATTAAATAAACAAATTTACAAAACGATACTTGGTCTTTTAAACTGGGTGACTCCCAGAGCGTTCTACATTTGTTTACAGATGGTGGAATCCTAAGACAACCATTTCCAGAAATTGTCCCGATGATTCTTGCAAATTGATGGACTGTGTAATTTTTTTTAGTTAACTAACAAATTGAATAACTCCCGAAATAACAAGGAAGGTAACTCTATAATAGGCCCTTGGCGTTCTGATTAATAAAAATCATACATTTTGGTAAAATAGAAGCATTAAAAAGCTCACCCTTTAAAGAATCGTTCGACGCGACCCGATTTGCAAAATCATTTTTTGTTGTGTCAAAAACAAGTCCGAAGTCAAAAGCTGATTTCTCGTGAACTCGGATTTGGACGTATTTTTTTAATGTAGGTCTTTCCAAGAGCTTTCCATTCACCTACTATAGATTTACATTTCTTGTGGTATAGCCCAGTCAGAATAGGAAAAATAGAGGAACTAATTCATGTATTACTAGTTCCTTCAGAATTGTGTAAGGGACGTTTCCCTAATCAACATAAAGTAAAGTCCCCTGACTACCGTCTGTGCTAAAGGGGGGAGGAGAGTGAGAGCGGCTTTGAAGGTCCCATTTTATAGTGTTTTGCTTACAACGTGGAAAAGGTATGCTATAGCAAAAAATTTTGTACCTAAAAATGAAAGCTTATTAAATTTGCTATAACTTTGAGTGGATACATAATTAGGAAAAAACGGAAAAAACGCATCGTTTTTATGTTATTGACTATCCAAGGTTGAATATTTTCATATGTGTTTTAGGGTTCACTAACTGTAAAAAAATTGAGAACGCTCTGGGAGTCGTCCTTTTGGAACTGCAAAATACACATTATCGGGAATATTTCTAATAGTGTTTTTGCACTTTTGTACAAGACAATACCTATAAAATGGTTTTTTAGCTTTTTCCATGGTCTGAATAGCTATTACAACTGAAAATCTCTTTAAATAAACGTTTTAAATATTATTTTACAAGTTAAATTGAATTGTTCTAACAGTGTTTACTCTTTTTACTAGGTTAGAACGATGTAAAAAAGCGATTAAAAAATTAAAAAAATTACATGCATATTCCCTACTGTCTGTCTTCGTTACTCACCTTTTTATGCAAGAAGTACTTCAGGTTTTCATCATTGATATATGGCAATTGAAGGAGAGGAGACTTGAAATCCCACAAGCCTTGCACAATCATTGGTGACAGTTTCATACAATTTTCTATAGTTTCAATGCTAGGTAATCTTTGAACTGTAAATACGAAATCAATAATTTTTATATGTAACTTGTAAGTATGTCATACTTCGTCGTGCATATGCTAGGAAGACCAGTTGATTCAAACAATTAACCTGCTCTTGTATCAGGTACGGGCATTTCGCGACGATATACCTACGATCCTGTTCTAATGTACTCGGATTGAGTGGAATTCTGGATAAGTGTGCGTGTAAAATCGCCCTGGCCTTAATACTATAACCGAAGCAAAGAGGGCGTTCCTTATTCTTCTCACTTAGGTTGGGTAACTTCTTAATCAGCTAAAAAAAAAGTAGACTGAAACAGTAACATACCCAAGTGAACTACTTACATGAGGTACTTCTTCATTATCAGATTGTCTCTCTATAATTTCCGAGTTGTGTTTACGATCGAATTCGGGACTCGCAGATAAGATCATTATAACACGTTTTAATGGCATGTTTGGCGTTTTATGGAAAAAGTAATAGTAAACCTGCGTGGTTTCCAGAAGCACTTGATCTCCAGAAAATCGTATGCTACGATACCACCAAGTGCCTACCTAAAGTGAGTATTAAAATTTTACCGCTAGCATGTAACGATAAACTTACGACGACGGGTAAGGCGACCATAAATACTAACGCATATAAACCAAGGACCCAAATACTGTTCTCCTTCTCGACGATCCACGATGGTAACGCTATACCAAAACTCATTGCGCCAGGCCCATCAGGATTTCCGTATTTTTCCCAATTTTTTTTAGCTTCTTCGTCTGTCAACGCCTATTAAGAAAACCCCAATCAGTTTTTAATTAAGCATTACATAAACCTATAACAGTGTATGGAAATGGGCGAATACTTTCTAAAGATAGTTCGTAAAAATTTACAGTTTCCAAACCTGCAATGGGAGACATGACAGTTGACTTGTTTTTCTGCAATGCATCAAGTGAATATGTTAACAAGTAAGTAATGTGTTTAGATGTTTTCACATTGAAATTGGTACGGTTTTGACATATTTGTACATTACCTAAGTATATGTAGTCTGAATTTTGAACGTGATTAAACAAATATACGAGATTTTGCATTTTCATGGAGATGAAGCTTATTAAAAACATGGTATAGAATTTTCAGTTTCTGATCAAAGTACACACGGACAAACAGACAGATAAATAAAGATGGTATTTAGCGAGTATTATTATTTTTAAAAGAGATCATCATGAATATACATAGTATGTTAACTTATTGACAAACGTACATTTTATGTATATGAAATGGTTTGACTTTTTGTACCGTTCACAGTTAAAAGAACTTGTTTTATCCCAATTTTAAACCATAAATAGGGTGATAGATGATACCAACAACGTCACGAAACCCAGACACAAGGCCCTTTCATGGTTTGGATGTGGTAAATTAGAGTGATTTGAAGTCAGTAGTCTGAACTTCCGAGAAAACGCGAGTGCCGTGCAAGTAGAATTCTTCCTATCCAATACCATTCCCCCTACCACGGCGAGAATTGTATATACAGGCTGATTCAAATTCGAGGGCCACCATTGGGATCTCGGTAACTGTAAGATATAGGTAGGTAGTTTCAATTTGGCAAAGTTGCGTACTTTGACGCTTCACAAAATGCAGTTTTGAAACTGAAAAAATTCCGACTACTTTCGGAGATATCCGGAAAAAATCGAAATTTTGCAAAAACGATTTTATTTCTTACTAAAGTTTTTTCAAAATAAATAACACATTATTATTGGCCACTTTTTTCCCTCTACAAGATGCTAGTTTTAAATTTTAAATCCGTCGTTTCGTCTCCGAATAACCATCATCAACTTGGTTTTTTCTTATGGAAGTAATTTTTACTTTTTGCGTCATTCGATAAAAAATTGTTTTCTGATTTCAAAAATGTAAACATCACAATTTTTTTAATATTGTTAAAATATCTTTTTTTTGCCTAGAAAACTTTATCTTGGGTGGTGTAAGTACGTAGTTTCTTGCGTTTGTATGAATCAATAGCACTATTTCTTATTAAAAGATAGTGAGGTTTACATTTTTGAAATCAGAAAAAAATTCTTTAAATTCTTTATCAAATGACACTAAAAGTAAAAATGACTTTCATAAGAAAACAAAAAGTTGATGATGGTTGAATGGAGATAAAACGTCAAACTTAAAATCTAAAAGCAGCAGATGCGCTACCTACAGTGATTCAAAATACCTATTCAAAAAAGATTTTTTTTTATTCAAAAAAGGTTTAAGTAATCAAAAAAACAGATTTTTGAATTTTTTAACCCTTTTTAAACTTTTGTGTGTGGCCACAGGCTAGCACTTTTGATATTATGAACGATAAAAAATTCCAAAGGTAACAGTTTGATACATTTGTAAGTCGAAATCTGAGGCATCGAAATAATTTTCATAAAAAAAGAGAAATAGTACAAAGGCTAAACTCTTTAAAGTTCATAACGTCGTTCTTAAGCAAAGTATTTTTTTCTCTTTGCAATAGGAGGGTGGACATGCATACTTTTCAATAATGTAGGGGTTGATCTGTTTGTGTTTAAAACTGTGGACAAACCTACAACTCCAATACAAACTGGAATTTTGCAGAAGAGCGTTTGGCATTTTTAACAGAAAAACAAGAAAAAACAAAATAAAAACTACATAAAAAGTGCCTGTGTGCAAAGCAAAACCAGCAGATTCCCCTTTCACACACCACACGTGTCACAACTTCCCGACAGTTGAAAGTTGGTCACTGTGATTGCAGTTATTTGACCCCGCGCAGGTCCTACGTACGGCTCCTCTATTTGCTATTATATAACTCTCCAAGAGAAATTCCTTGGAAGGTTTTTGAATAAGACCCAAAGATACTGGTCCTTTTATAAACGGCTGCAATTCAATACTGAATGTTTGCTGGCATTTTCTAATTTCCCTATCAGAAACTCCTCCATAATTACATGTGGCCATAACTAACACCAAATTACCTACTTACTTATAAGCTTAATAACCAATTACCTGATAAGCTTTCGATAATTTCATAAATTCTTTCTCATTGCCGGTTTCCTTGTCCGGATGTAATATAACAGACAACTTGCGATATGCCCTTTTAATTTCGTTCTGACTAGCGGTAGGCGAAATTCCCAAAATTTCAAATGGATCAAAATTGGCCATTTCGTAATCAAATTGAGACACTTTATACGCCAAGAGCGCCAACACCAGCCATCCTCCGATAATAAAAATCTTTAAGAATAAATTTTTCGGCCCTCGCCACGAGTCTGCCGATTTGAGTAACATTTTCTTCTTCACGCATCCTGGACATCGACATTCCTTCGATTCTTCTTCAGGGTCTAAAAGAGAATGACACGATTACAACTATCTGCAAGACTTTCCGCCTAAGCACGCAAGATTATAGAATCAAGGTTAGTCAACCAAAAAATATTCTAAAATTGTTGCTTAAAGTATACCAAAAGATAGCCCACAATTGGCGATAACTAACGGTATTAAGTATAACATGAAAATTCTAACCTGGTTTTCTCTTCCTTGGCCAATAATAATAAGTGGTAGGTATTAAAATTAATGCTAAAAAGGAAAGCAAAAAGTAAAAAAACGTTCCTCCACTTTCGTCATATTGGAATTTTTGGCCACCCATTCTTTTCACAAGACGTTTTTAATGAGAAACATGCACCCTACGTGTCTTTTCTGACTTTTGAGACATCACATCAGTATAACCCCACTTTTATATAAAAAGTCTAAAAATTACAAAATCCCGTTAGGCGGTGTCTCACGAACCTACTACGGTAAAATAAGTACACCCTATATATTAAATTACATGCCACTTTTCTTTCTCACATTGATAAATTAATTTAATAATTGCATCCCAAAAAAATAAATCATTAGCATTATAACGATTTTTTCTTGTAAGACGATCATCTTGATTTTCCTGTAATATCAAATAAACGTTTGACACTTGAGACAGGTGGGGGTTCAATTCCTAGGTCCCGGGTTGTAAATTGGTTAATACTGAACCACTATCGAGGAGGCAGGAGGGAGGGGGGGTCGCCAAGATGTGCTTCATTATTTGCAATTTAGATCTGGACTTGTGGACAATTTTTGTCAAAATAAATGTGCACAAAAATAAACATACTTATCGTTCAACGCTTGTTACGCAATTTAAGTGTTTATAAACATTAGTCACGGGTGAGCAAAAAGGTAATACATCTGCGTCTGGGCTCGTACCACTGTCTACCTCCAATGTTTGGCACCTATTTATTGTTCTCTGGTGAGTGTAGCCAAAATGTTCAGTATCTTCAAACTGATCTGACCCTTCAACAAAATTTACTCTTTTATAAGCTCGAATTAGTTTCAATGAAACTAGTTTTACATGGTTAGGCACTTCAAGCGACAATTTTCAACTGGACAATTTGTAGTTCTGTGTGAATCGTTGCCACATCGTAAACAGAGATGGTCACTTCCATGTTTTCTACAATAATCGATTCGAGATCTTTGGTTTGGTTTTGATAACGCCCCTTACTATTATTATTGATGTCCAAGTGTTATTTGTATTTTTAATTTCTTGGCTATCTAAAAGTGATGCTTCGATAGCTAAGGCTTTTGATGCGATTTGGCAAATTCTTGTTCTTTGGATGATTTCGGTGGCCCCCAAAAATTGTGCATGTCCTTTATACTTGCGTTACATACATAATTAAGTTCGCGTTCTAGTGTGTCTATTTTTAAATTTCGCTATTTAATTTAATTTATAATTTACGGTAAATTGCATTATGTGAAATTTCGGGATCCAGCTGTGGTGAATCATTTCGTGACTCACCCTGTAGATATATCGCTGTAGATTAGGCACAGGTACTTGACAGGCGCAAAGGTTTTCGGCGGTGGGGACAAGGAACGGTCATCTGGTTAACAGCTTAGCTATTTTGAGCGGTTTCAGTTTGCAGTACTTCTCGTCAAAATTCCAGCAGTGTACGCCATATTGGACCATCATTGCCTAATATACTGCATTATACTCTATAGTGAAGTGTTTATAAACCGTTTTATTACTGTACAAAATTACTTTCTTTCCTCAATCTGTAAATATCCGTAGAATAAGTGAAAATTTTAACACAAAACAAGTGGTGCGACGTTTAGCAACTGTTGTTACTTCCTTGTCAAATTAAATATGGCGTGTGCAACGTTGAAGAGATCTTTGGATTTCGAACCAGTTTTGGGTGCAAGACCGTCTAAACGGAGACGATGTGGTACCCCGTTTTGTACAAGCCCTTCCAGTTTCAGAGATAAAGCTGGTCCATCCACTTATAACCCCATGAACGTGTCTCCTCCCAAACCTCCGTCTGCATTTCCCGATGTAGCTACCAAAAAACTCACTCCTGGTAAGTTCTTTAATTTTTTATAATTTTGGCTGTCATAGCACACCGCTTTCTTGTTGCATTAATTTCTGATTACTCACCCTGTGCGTATGCGCGCATTTGGCTGTTTTTATAATTCCTAATCATTGTCTTATCAAATTTCCAATCCAATTTTGTATTGCTTTGTTTACATTGTGTAGGTTAAAGGATATCCCTACTTTCATCGTTAACTGCCGTAATAATAATTCTTAAGGGGTGTTGTAATTTCACATTGCGTACTTAGCTTGTGCATATTTAAGTGTGCAACAATTGAAATTAAGATAAGAATTATCTTATCATATTTTTGTTCCAGAAAGACGTTGACTATCCCACGTAAATTTAATTTGATACGTGAATAGCCATGTAATCGATAAACCAAACTTCTTATTTAAAGATAGTTAAAAAAAGGTCAAGAATTATCTCTTGCAGATGATTTCTCTTTGAATGAACTTTGAGTTACAACGAAATTGTAATTTTTTCCCTAGAAAGGTGGATAGCGCTGATGTGCTGAAACCTCATCCTCAATCACAATAAATTGCTGAATGTGAATCCAAAACCACAGTTTATTTTTACCATTCGCATGTCAGTAAGGGAGGTAAAAAATGACCCCCCCCCCTCCATTTTTTTTATGGAAATACACGTTTTGAAGCACCAGCAATCTGAATCAAATAAAATCTCGATGATGTCGGTCTGTCTGTCTGTACCCACATCTCTGGCTAAACCGATTGAAATCAAATTTGGTTCGTAGACAGGGAACAGCTGAAAAGCTTTTGGGCAGTATCGCGCATGCGCAGGTGTGCTGGTAGCTCGGCGGGTGGTATCTATGCCAGCCACAAAAAATTTTTTGTATCCTCGCGTTTATCATTGCATTGTAGTTGCCACTATAGTTACCTATAATCTTATTTTTTATATTAGATAGCGTTGGTGGTGGTCACATCTACAGGGTAGTTTTCAGATGTATTGTCCCATGGATATTATAGATTTTATATGCCTACCTTTTTTGTTTAATACTGGCGCCATTTTTTCCTGTTCCATTGAGAACATTAATCCATAAATATATTTATTAAATATGTTTTTAAATGACCGTGAATATGCAAGCCGGGGAAATTATCAGGATTTTTCGAGAAGATTGTGGATGATTCAGGATTATTTGTGTAGGTAAATTAATATTCGACCCTTTTCCTTTTATTGCCAAAAATATTCATGCCATTATAAAGACATTCATACTATTGACTAAATTTAAAATTCCTTACACAAGCATTATCCAGGGTAAAATTAAACAATGGCTTATTTATACAGGGCGTCCCAAATAAAAAAAATTGATCCCCTTAATAAATTATCTTTCATAAGCTAAAATTCTCAAACACGTCAAACTTGTATTGTGGATGAGCACAAATTTCAAACGTTAGATCTCATTCTTTAGGTAGGGTTGGGTAGGGTGATGTTAAAAAGCTTTAACACATCGTTTGGGTAAAGTGTCGGGTAAAGTATTTGATACTAAAACAGCACCAGGCATGAAAATTTTGTTTATTGAAAAAAAAAACTGCTCACCTCTTCCTTTTACTTTTTAAGTGGAGATATCCTGTATTTTTTGTTTATTTCAATCTCGATTTCAATACAAAATGACATTCTCTGTACAGGGTGTTCTAAATTGATTGTTTTCCATGTTTTTCGGAGATATTTTGAGAACTAAAAGAAATTCAGTTTGCACCTCGGTTTCCACTACTCTTGATATTCCCATAAATAACTAAGTTATAAAGCAAAAACTTTTTATTGCATTTTTGGACTTTTGCGCTGTTGCTCACATTCGCGCAAGTCATACGTCAAAATTGACATCGTCAATTTAGGCAGCTTTGAAAAGTAACCACGAGAAAGCAAACCACATCTTTTGGTGCTGAAAATATTCCTCAAAAACAAGTAATTTGGAACACCCTGTACAGAGGGGGGCCGGTGAACATTTGTTTGCAAATTCCAACTGTTATAGTAAAAAAACGTTGTAGGAGGGTAGAGACAAGTGAACTGATTTTTTTTCCAAATTATAATAAATGTTTTAGCCAAGCCCCCGAGCCCTGGGGCGTTAAAAAATTTTCCCTAGTCACATTTTGGATTTGTATAGTAGAAAATGGAGAAGCATCAGTTCACTTATGCCACACAAAAATTTGGTTAATTTATTTCAACCTTTAGCCACGCCCCTGGAGCGCTAAAATTTTTTTTGAAAGGCACAATTAGATATGCTTTAATTGCAACTCATTCAGACAAAACTCGTGGATTTGTCATAGCAAAAAATTGATAGGTATTAACTGACTTGTAGCACACACCACTATGTCTCAATAGTCAACAGATAATCGAAAATCTGTTTCCATGGTGGAACATAGTATTTCGATAATTTTGGAACGTGATGGTTAGTGTTTTAGACATGTGTAGAATCCACCATGACAATAATCATTCATTCATTGACACATTTCTGACCACCACTGCCACCTTTTTGTCGGAAATACACGTTTTGAAGCGCCAGGAATCTGAATCGAACAAAATCACGAAGTCAGTCTGTCTATCTGTACTCTTATTTCTCTTAATCAGTACATTTAATGATTGTTCTCCGACTCGAAAATGTTCCTTCGCATGAATTTTATCCCTTGGGAATACAAGACCTTGCTACAAATCAGGCTGCTAAAAAGTTTTTCCTTGTTGGAACTGCAGTTCGTCTATTCGCACACGTATAAAATTGCAGCTAACTCACAAATCAGATTTTTTTCTCAGAAGTGCCAACTTTACAGGTACTCAAATAAATTTTATTCCGAAATTTTATCAACTACTTAGTTCCAAGTTGTGGTTCTTGAAACCGAACCGCGAAATATTTGTTTCATACAACGATATTTATACGTGGTCACTCCTGAAGGTAAAACGAAAATAATTTGTATTGACGCGAAATAAACCAACCATAATAATAATAAATTAGCGTACCAAAAATGGTACTGGCTCGCATTGGTAACTTCCAAGAATTAAATTTCGCGTACCTGTAGTACGTGATCGCTCGCGAAAATTAGCTTCTCCTTACCTTTTTAACAGCGCTCTCTTTCCCCAATACGGTTCTTGTTATCACTTCTTGTAGTCAGACATACTTTTGTTCATGTTCGCTATGAAGCGATATATTTGCAAATTTTCCTTTGTTGAACATAATAAAAATTCAAAACCAAATTTTGAAATGGCAAAGCGGCCACCTTTTAACAATTTTCCCTAAAAATGTTTTCGGATTTAAGACATAGTCCCTAATTAAAAAATTTCTGTAGAACCCTGGCAATACCAGAGATTTCTGGATTGTTATACATAACAATTCCTAATGTAGCAACCGTGCACAAACAACATATTCTATATCGCTGTGCCATGAATGGTTTATTTAGTAAATTTAGTAGTTAAAAGTGGAGGAGAAGTATGATTATACTTTCCTAGTGCGCTTAATGAGAGGATTCAAGCAAAAGAGTTATATTCCACTCTGAAAGCTACTCTGCCGTGTCGAAAATGTGCTAAGTCATATTGTGTGACATGTCACATACTTTCATCAGTTTCAAATTGTCACTCTACAAACAGCTTATCTAGAATTGTCCATTTACCTTCAAATTGTTACTAACATACACTGCTATAGAATTTTTAAAATTGCAGAATACATGGCCGCTAGTATCCAAGCGGAACTTAAAAGACTGCACAGACGTAAACAATTACAGTACAGCGCATACGCCTCCGATGGCAGTAGTTCAGGTGGTGAACAAGTCGAAGGAGCACCTTCACGTCCCAAAGATAGAGCTTTGTTTACATTTAAACAGGTAGGTCTTCAAATCTGTATAATAACAATAATCAACATCGTTTTAGGTGGGTTTAATTTGTGAAAGAATGATGCGAGAACGAGAAGTAGAAATTAGAGAAGAATATGATAATGTTCTTACTGCCAAATTGTCGGAACAGTACGACGCCTTCGTTAGATTCACCTATGACCAGATACAGAAAAATTACGAAGCTGTGCCGAGTTGTAAGTAATCACTGCTTAATTTATTACACAACAGGTGTATTATTTACCAAGATGCAAAGTCAAATTCTTTAGATTGTTTTGTTTGTGAGTAATATACATACCAAGGGGTCTTTGATAAGAAAAGAACCTGCAATTTATATCAATAAATACTGGAAGGGTGATTGAGTTGTTCATGTAATTGGCTATTTACAAACCATTATCTTTTGTTTCAGATTTATCATAAACATGAAGCGTTAAATTCGACGAGTTTGATATGCCATTAGAGTTCGCATATTCAAGTGTCATTAGGTATTTCGTATACAGTAACACTTTATATTATAATATATACCCGCAGTTTAAATGTCGTATGTTAACTTACCATCTGCCTTAAATATTGCTCTAGATGACAGTGTATATAATTACATGTAACTGTTTCATTGGAATTAATTAAATTTAGTTGTGTACATACAGTTTTGTATTTTCGATAACGTATCATAATTTTATTACCACCCTAAAGCATAGGTAAGCATTACGTTTAGTGTAGTGGTTGAATGAAAGGTTTATGTGTGGAAGGACTGACTGCGAAAGTACATTGTTTTTTAATGCTTTGAGGTTGTACAAATATTTAGTGAGTGATTGTAGTGATTCATGCCATTAATTTAGTATGTGATTTATAATGTGGTGACCCAAGTACTACATCAACAGAATGAACACCTGACCATTGGTGATGATAAATCTGTAATAATTTTATTGTTCGTTTAAGATCATCGTGAATAGTAAAATCTGATAATTTTTCCGTCTGTCATCAGTTGACATCACTGTCACCATTGCATTCGTTTCTCAATTGTGATAAGATTCATTTCTGTTTCGTACATTTTTTGCATATCCTAAAACAGTTGTGGAGCTTCAAAATTCTTGACAATCATTTTTGTGCAATATTGAATGACGGCGGTAAAATTACACTCAGGTTTATGTACAACAAAGAGATCTCCACGAAGTAATCGTTGTGAATGTTTACGACGCAAATTTTAATGTGATTTTTTTAAGTCTTAGCCAGAGTGAAAGCATTTCACCCCCATTAATTTTGCTTTTTGTTGTACCTCTTAACTCCTTATAAACATTTTGTATTTATTTTAGTTATTAGCAAACACTTCTCTGCATAAGCTTTAATGATCAGATCAATCTTGCAACAAAACTGCATCCTCGAACTGCACAATAGTGTCGTTTAATGTAGTGACTGTTACATTTTCGGTGGTGAATATATAAATGTTACAATTAAGTGTAAGATTAGGTTACGGAACTATTCGCGAAATGCTTTAATATTTATAAAGCGTATAGACTGGAAGACCAACTTTAGTTAGGTTAGTGCTGTAATATAAGGAGAAATAATTTTGGGTAAATTTGTTAAATATTTTGTACTTGGTAAAATAAACAGATTACCATCGAGTGTCGATGCAGGAAGCTCATTATCGTCGAGGAAACAACATGGAGATTTAAAATATAAGTTATAGCGGAGTTGTTGAATTATTTTTGTTTTTTTTGTGCGATCTTTGTTTATTAGTATGTAAGAATAAAAACGTGTGATTGAAATATACAAATCTTGACCAGAGGCTTTATTTAATATCGATCAATTGAGTTTGCCATACCGCAATGTTTTAATTTTGAATTTACCCTTAGAAATTGTATCTTGTGTTAAAACTAAATAGTAGTGTAGTACATGCGATGCATATTTATATACACATCTGCTTAGGATTATACTTAGAGTTATGTTATGTTAATTTTACTGTCATTTCAATTGTAAATCATTGTTTTAAATATAAAAATGATCTTAATTAATTACATCTATGGATCTAATGCGTTGCATAACGATTTTATGTACCTGATCAGGTTGAATAGTGAACTACTAAAAAACATGATTTGCGAGGGCGCCACTAAATTCGGTACGGTTAGGGAGATTATGCAATTCAATGATTACGCTTAACATCTAAGTTTTATTGAGAGTTTGAAGGAGAAATGTCAGTGAAATAACTAAGGGCAAGGTCAAGATTTGAGAACAATTTGCGCAATGTAAATTTCCCTATGGCCCGTTTTAAATAACTCCACGCCTTTGCATTGCGTTATGCTAGGTGTGTACTTTCTATGGCCCATCTTTAAAAAAACACCCTGCATAATAAATAAACATATTTAAAAGGTAGACGGTATTTGGGACATTCAATTTGGTATTGTCTATATCGACCGCCCGGCCGATAGTAGGATCATTACAACTTGCTTTTAAAATCGAATTTACCTGAGAATCGATCAAAATTTTACAGTGGAATTGCCTTTCAGTTTTACGGGAGTTTGGATGGTGCCACTAAGCTTTTGACTATTTTTACAAAATCAAAAAGGTGATCCCCAACAACTTACATCACACAGCAACGTTATTTTGGCTTCGCCACCTACAATAATGATATGACCATTCTGGATGTGAATAATTTCAAATCTGATAGGTTTTTTTGATTATAAACAGAGTGCAACCGTTTTGTTTTGAATTTTGGTGGTTTTTTTTTGGAATTTTTACAGATGCCTAATTTGTTTGTTTAAATTTATCGCTTTTGTAATTGATTAATTTAGATAATGTTAACAATTCATCTGGTCAACGCAATAAGAGCTTTTGCTATTGTGTTGCGTAAGGTGAAAGTTAATTAATTTCAAGACAAGTACATGTTTACCGCCGATAAGAAAACGCGAAGACGCGGTTTTTCTGGTGCGAGTGGGTTGTTTGACGTCATTATTTCGAAGCTGGCGCTAGCGTTAATTAAGTTTGGTTTTGATTGGCTGATGTTTACCAAATAATGCAGCTTTTTAAAGTGGTGGAGAGGAGATCCTTTAAATACAAGAACAACGAAAAACGAGCCTTTTTTGGAGATAGTGCGAGAGTGCACATTTTTGTTTGGATGTGGATCCTTGTGGTAACATCCCTATGGACTATGGTTAGGTAACAAAACTGTATGGGAAAGAAATACGACACGCTCTGTGTATACAACAACCATGAAGGCTTCAACTTTAAACGTTCTGCCATTGATTATATAATATAATCAATCAGCTGTTTGCATTTTTTGCCGTGTATGATCAGTGGTGTACCTTCATGAAGAAAAGATATACATAAATGTATTCCGTATCGTTCATTTTATTGTAGAAGTGCACAATGTCTACTTGTGTAAATATGTTTGTACCTATTTACGACCACGGTTGCTGCCTTAATGTGACGCCTGACCTTAACAAGTGTATTTACATGTAGGAATAACCATTTTATTCTTTCTTGTACTAACCATTAATATTTGAATTTAATGTCACAATTTGTTACTATTTATATTATGCACATTTTTACATTTCTCGGCTGCATATGTTGCTCCTTCATCCCGTGTGGACTGCAGTTCTTGTGTCTTAGCATTTACGAGAAGGGGGGTCCTCTAATTTGACGTTTATCTGCCTGTTTCCGTGGAGTAAGTATGTCATACAGATCGATTCAACTCTTATTTAACATGAATACTTACTATTGGCATTCTTACATGTACCTACCTTTCGGGTTAAATTAATTGAAGTCGATGCGGGAGTGGCCCCTTGCTTTTGTACATGCAATTTACCGTTTCACAAAATGGATTGTAGGTACATTTGTTTAATTTGTTTTTCTACTGGATTGATTGATAATGTTTTCCACTTGTATTTATGTTTCGTTCGTGTTGATTTAACTGGATTTGATTTGATTGATCGCGATTTCCACTTGTATTTATGTATTATTAAGTCACAAGATTTATTTATTTTTTTAGTCAGTTCGAGTTATCAAGATCTAGTGTAATAGAGGAAATTTTCAATTTGTCAGCGAGGTTTTGTTTCTTATTTGTGTCAGAAAATCGCATTTAACGACCAGTTTTTTTATTTAAAATTTAAAAACTAACTAATTAAGACTTCCTTAAGTAATTCATTTTCTATGGATCGCGTGCATGCGTGGTATGTGTAAATCTGGCTCTGAAAGCTTATTTTGTTCAGCTTATGCGTTTAATTTTTTTGTCTTACTAAATAAATTTTTGTCTTTGTCAATCAAGTTACTGTGTGTTTAGTCGAACCCAAAGTGCGACCCAGATTAGAATTTTCACGATAATTTTTTTTTTGGTACCTGAATTATGTTCGGTGTTGTAGTGTACCTACTTAACTCCCAGGTTCTACGCTAACTTTACATTTACAAGAACACGGACATAAAATCAACCCCAATGGCCATTCCCACCAATAGCTAACCAGAATCGCACGCTTTGTATTTTGAATGCAAACTAGTTTTTTAGAATCATGACATCGGTCTGGCCTCAAATTCAATTGAAAATAAATCAGCGTGTGCTATTCCTATCATAAATTGATTGTACAATAGTTATTTGTACAACTAGTTTTGAAAGTGATACTTTTTTTCATGAATTTGCAGTTTAATCAAGCCAATTCATGGAAAAAAGACACTTTCAACACGTGTTGTACACGAAAATTTTTTGCATAGTGATCCATAATAACCCACAATTGAATAATTTGATTGACATTCGCGATTTACTGTCACTCAAAAGTGGATGCTATTGTTCATAGACAGGACTAAACTCCATGGAAACGCATAGTAAAAATCGTGAAACCACTTTCCATACGATTTTTCGTTTAAAAAAGTCCGATAATTTCATCACTATGTAAAAAATACTTTATTCGCCTAGATACTAAAGTATCTACACCATTACATTTAAATTTACATTTAAAATGGCCTTAACAACGGCAGGTTTTTACAAATTCACATTTAATTTGCAAGTTGGCGAAATAAGTAAGTACATAATTGCATAAAAAGTGCCATTCTTGATTTGCAGTATACAACGCAAATTTTAATCAAGAAAAATGTGTTCCCATATTATTTTTGTTTCTCTGGGAATATGTTGAGCAGTGTATGTATTTCCAAGTTTATTTATTGCTAAAAGGTATAATTAAAAAATAATTTGAAATTTATTCCTGTGTAGAAATGGTTTATAAGCTGCGCATTAAAACTTAAGTCACTTGTAAGTTGAAGATGAAGCTACTATTAATGTGCGTTTTCTTCATTGCGGTGCACGCAAAAAAAGTAAGCATATAGTTAGCTGATTACAACTACTTTAGAATATTTTCTTAGTTAACACCCGAAGTTATTAAGACATGGGAGAGTATAGTGTCGCCTCATTTTGACTATTGTGTGAAAATAACAAATGTCGACCCAGAAATACCAAGAACTATGTTTGAGCAGGAAGATTTGCCAAATGCGGAGTCCTTTGTTTGTTACATGAAGTGCATTTTTGAGAAATTGTCATTTTTAAAACCGAATAACGAACTAGATCAAGATCAGATGTTAACTACAATCTACATGCTAAATCCAAGTGAAGCAAGCAGGTGTCTTGCTGAATCTGCAACAGAAACAGATATATGCAAGAAAATACACGATATTAGCGCATGTATTGTACATCGCGTCGAAAATGATTAGTAGCACTAAGCATGGTGTCATTGTAAATATTTCTTAGTATATTTAGAATTGTTATTTAGTTATGCAAGCTGAAAAAAACAGTATCTTACTTTGATCCGTCTTGCTCTTCATCCTTCACCCCATACTAGGCATACCTTTTATCTCTTTTATCATTGTTGCTGCTTGGATTGGAAAACAAATAGGTAACATTTCGTAATTCTTTATTAAAAATTTGCATTATTAATTCTTAACCATATTGATCACAAAATCATGAGACACATTTCTAAAAGTGAAAAGGACATAATATCAAAACCTTTTTGAAGAAATTGGAATGTACGTGCATGTGCTCAATTTCAGAATAAACAAGTTCTGTGAAAATTAATATAAAATTAACGGTAATTCTAAAATTCTTTGGTAATAAAATGAGGTATGTATACAATCGCAGTGCCATTTATTAATTTATATTTAAGAAACTATGCTTTCTATCCAAAGCCTGAATATATCTACTGTTTCGTATGTTTATATTCTTTAGTATAATAGAATAAATGATAGTATAGCTACAGCATGGGTAAAACTACATTATGGCAGAAGGCCTCTTTAATTTGAAAAATGTCCCATCGTTCTGTAGCTACACGACTATCTGAAAAAGCCTTCATAAAAAACTCTAAATTTGATCATGACTAGCAATAGCACTTTTTGTCACCAAAAAAATAAACGTAATTAATTCAAGGCATATAATTGTGCCATAAAACTATTACAGCTCAAAATTTATGATATAATCTTTAAGCGAATTCGGTAAATTCAGTTTATTTAGATAAAGGCCCGGCTTTTGGCTTAAGCAGTTATGAATCTTCACTCTACATATTTGCTTCAAACTTCGAGGCCTTTTGTATAAATCTCTGATAATACAAGTTAACGGCTCTGTTCTTCTGTCAGGTACCAAACTTAACTGTTGTGTATGTAACATTTTTAAACATTCAAATAGAGGTTTATGTTTCATTACTAAATAGAACAACATAATTATCTTGGCAAACGACATTTTCGGATCCGTAATAACGTTTTCTTTTCTAGAGACTAACATGATATAGTAATATAAAATATAATTTTTACTTTTCCACAAGGATTGTGAGCGCTGCAACGGATAACTCTTTATTGCTTCCGATATATTTAAACTAAGATCTGGATTAGCTCCGTACTGGATTAAGGTAAGCGTAAGATCGTACACATAATCAATGTCTCTGCAATCGCGCACGTTTTGTATCATGTCCATGCAGGACTGCAAAATATGCTGAGTTCGATTGCTCGCGCGTACGTTCGGATCTAATCCGTACGAAAGTAATAATATTAACAAATTTTTTATAAATTCAAAATTGAGTTGTTTTTGCACATCACAGTTTAATGTTATATTTTCCGATACTGTAAAGACTAATATATGCAGTGGAGTCAAGTTCTCACGATAACTACAGTTTGGACTGGCTCCGTACTTTAAAAGTATTCGAATGCAGTTCAGGTAGCATACCTAAAATCAAAACACATTAACTAACGTTGCACAATTACACCTTTTGAAAATGTTATCTTATTTCTATTATGCCCAAATGTTTCGATTGTTGAGAGCTAAATAACCAAAGGTTCCAAAATGCTTCTTTCTTTTGTGAACTTATACAAATTTTCAAAATATCTACCGCATTGTTTTTTTTTTATTTCATGATTTATTGTTGTCTTTCATGTTCAAAGATATTTTGATACAAAACTTTCTTTCATTGCGCCGTCTTTAAATAGGAATGCGAAAATAAAAATTTTGGTACTGTTATTGCGTAGCGTCCAAATTAAGAAAAAAAATAGTTTGGTTCATTCAATTCTTGTAACTACTACAACACTCTGTATAATGTATGGCATCCTATTAAACTTTAATTTACTTATACAGTAGAACCCCGATTATCCGTGCTCAATGGGACCGGATGGCGCACGGATAATTGAAAAGCACGGATAATCCAAAGAATTTATTGTTTCTTAGAGTAGGCATACGTATGTATACTAAAAATATAAGAAAAAAATCAAACTAAGGTATGCACAATAAATTCTACAAAAAAGTTCATAACACAATGAAAAAAAACAGAATTCTAGATAAGGTCTGACACAAGTACAGTTGCAACTTACATGTAGCACGCAGTCAAATGCGCTAATGCTAAATGGCTAAATTTCGCTTAACCTGCATCGGCTGATGAAAGATAATTCTCTGAGCATGCGCGCACTCGGTATTACAGCCTGCGTTTCCCTCATGGACTAGCGAAAATTCTCGTCAAGTGATTGACGGCAATGGTATTTCAATTAAAACTTTAAAAATGTAATTTCAAAAACGCGCAAGCATGGCACGGATAATCCGCATCCCGGATAATTCGCGCACGGATAATCGGGGTTCTACTGTACTTTTATGAATATTCAATAGTTTCAGCTTGCAACTTACCTTCATGCTATGTGTAAAATGGTGCAAAGGATCCTTATTAATAAGCGGTACAAGACACACCATAATCGGAACAGAGCCATCACGTCCAACCATATTTGGTTCACCTTAAAAAAGTAAAATTAATTTGTAATGTGCATGATTTTTTGGTGATCGATTAGTCAATTGCATAATTATCAATTGTTACGTGATAATCAATTTTTTATTTATGGATGAGTTGATTAATGGCTACTAAGTGTACTCTTTAAAACGATTATTTCATGATCTCAGCACATATCAATACAAATATTGTACATAGTAACAAATGTCTATTATGAATTTGGTATTATTCTTAATGTCTTGTTAAAAAAACATAAGGGCATAATTATTACATGGCCTTGGCCATTGTCAGACATAATAGTGGTGCAGTTCACAAGACACATATGCTAACGTCACTGCAGACTATTTTGCATCTTTTTTAGTAAGCATTCTTATAAAAAAAGAATAAAATCTAGAATAAGATTGTGTTATTACACTATGTAGATTGTTACCTAATCCCCAAAGTGCTTTAAAAGTGACTGTTTAGCAAGATCAATGGATCTAAAAGGTCATAGCCTTTCAGGAGCGCCTCCTGTCCTTGGAGTCATTACAGAAGCATTTTAGTTTAGGAATCATGTTATTCAAAGCGTGACTCTATTCCACTTGGCATTATCACAGCTTTCTAGTGACTACCATGCTCCTCTCATTGCCATACCGTTCTTTTAGACGTCACCATGATTTTCATAATGCCACTCCTCTTTTTTTTGCCTCTGCCACGATTAGCGTTATTAGAGCCTTGTGGCTTATCTTATTTTCTTGACACTACCAGAAACTTCCACGCGTCACCATATTTTTTTACAGCATTCTATGTCATGAGAAAAAGCCTACCAGAGCTGTTCCAATACAATCAGGCACTTTAGGTGCGTTCTACACTGTTCTTCCTGGAGCACCCCTGTATAGGTCCACAATATTCTCTTTCCAGCTTTGAACACAGTTCCTTTCGTTGAGACCTTTAATGAGAATACCAAGACAAAATTAATTTCTACCCCCCTCCCTCCCTCCGGCCTCATACCGATCTCGGAAAGGACTCGCGCAGGCAAGTTATACTTGGCACAGACCAATTCATTTCGGTGAGACCTTTTATTAGAATAGCAATGAAGGGTAGAACGTGCGTTCATCCCCCGCCCCCCCTCCATTTTCAAAACTTTTACTTGGCACCACTAAAAGGCATATGTATGCAAATTCTGAGACCAGTTGATTGTCGCATGCAAAAGATATGCACGTTTTACATTCAAAATCAGCATCTCAAGATTTTGTTTTTATTTTTTTTATTTTACAAATTTGAAAAGATACAAAAAAAAAGAACTTTTTCGTTCCCACTATTTGAGCTCTACAAGACAGCCTTGGGGAATTTTCAATAGATTTAGTTTTGGGGAAATCGTCACCTTTATTTTTTTATACGAAGTGGCTATATGTCCGCCGACAGTACTATAATTTAAACTACCTATACCTATCTCTTACAGTTTCAGAGATCCACATGGTGGCCCTCGAATTTGAATCAGCCTGTATATTCCCACTTGCTATGTGCGGCTAATGAGCCATCGAAGGTAGAATAAGTATTGTATATGCGCACTCGTTGAAACATTCATTCAAATAGAAGATGTCGTCAACAATGAACATGACTGTTAAAAAGCATCATGTCATTTCATCAAATTTAATTTCCCTTATCATCGACTGTAACACAAAATATCGTCGTTCTTCTCGCTGCAAATCAGCGCCTTCGTCGTCTAATCAACGTACAATCTACGCTATTGCTACCGCAAAAGGTAACCCCATTTGCATCACTTATCGCCATCGCCTAAGAAGACCTACTTGGAAACAAGAAAAAGTACTAGGTGGGCCAAAAGAAATCACCCTATTGGAAGATGCTCTTATTTTTGCAAATGGCGGCCAATGTCAAATCTGTTTGGACATTTGTGAACTAGACAGGTTTAGAATACAAGTGAACAAGCCATGGAGCGATACACTCTCCAAGAACGCGGAATAATCGTATCTATTTTTTTGCGTTGTGGTGTTGGCGCAGCACGAATTCCGTCGCCGATTCCCCGGTCGTCCGGCACCGACTGCGCAAACACTGCGCCGTTTGGCCGCCAACCTTGAAGAGCATGGGACCACATGAGACGCTGCCAAAAGTGGCCGGCCCAGGAGCGAGAAACATAATCATAACACAGAATCGAAGTTTTTCATTTAGAAAAAAAATGAGAGCCAAACAACATCGGATGACTTCTTTTGGCCCACCTAGTATGTCCTTTTCGCTCATATTCTTTTCGGAACTGTTCATATTTATAGTAATAGTGCACTCCGAAACAAGATGTAGAATTAATTTACTTTATTTGTATTTTTAATCAATAAACATGTTAATCATTAGTGTTGATATTATTTCAACATCCCTCTCATACAAAAGCCAAGCATTCTGTATACAGTCCACACAAAAAATACAGAGGTTTCGCTTTACCCACAACCATACGAGTAGTGCTATGTATTTTGATCCAGTTTCAGGGAGTTGATTGAAAAAAAAATTTTACCTGTACTATTCGTATAAAAATTTTTATTATTGTTGAAAAGCATGTTTTGGTATTTAGAACTTAATTTTGTTTAGAAGTAGGCAAGAGAATAGATGCCTTTCAAAAAAAATTGTATTGAAATAAAAAACGACAAACAAAAACTATAAAAATTGAAAGACATAGTTGGTATGCGTTAGTTATTTTTTTTATTACACCAAGTTAAAAAATGGAAATATTTCCATGGGTTGGTCATACTGCATAAATACATACCTCCTTCCGCCAAAAGCATGTGCAGCAATTCATAACAGATATCCCAGTCTCGCACATGTCGCAAAACGCATGCCAAAGCAGAATTTCCCATTTGATTGATCGACTGTCTAGCGCCAGACTGTATCATATACCGCACCAAATGCAATATGTCCCACTTATTCCACTTATCATAGCCATATCGAGCCTCCTCCAACGCGTAGCGAACAATCAGTGCATGTAAAGGCGTGTTTCCTAGAGAATCTGGCGTATTAATTAGTTGTTTGCAGCCGTGTTCCAGCAGTAAGCGAATTGTAGATATTGTATCTTCGGCAGACTTATGCGCAACAAGAAAAACTGCAAACAAATTGTTATAACAGAAAAATTGACTACTGTCAATGCAACAAGTATGACAAACATGGGACTTAATAAAATAATAACCATTCATCGAACAGAATTGATATTGTAACATATATTTAATCACTTGATTTACGTACAATTAATTATTAATGAATTTATAACGGTTCTTTAATACATTAATTTATAACAGTTAACTTATCACTAACATGTAAATTTATAACACGAGCGCGAATTTCACTATTTATCACTTTGCATTGATGTTGAAGCTGAAGATGTTAGCCACAATTCAATTTTCTTATATGGCCCACAACAAAAAAGAATTCTCGAATCAGCATATCATATTTCAGTGAAAGAATGCGTCACATCGGCTTTCATCCCTTATCGCCGGTGACTAATCCTTTCGATCTGATGGCGCCTTGCTGAAGACGAACGGTAAGAAGTGGCCATTTCATTGGGTTGGGTTTGCCACCGATTCGCGACTTGTTCCTTGGATGCGATTGTTTTAGCTACAGTCAAAAGTATGAGAGAATATGGTACATCAATTCAACCGTGACCAGCATTCATTTGATGCCAAGTCCAGTCAGTCGAACGGTTATTTTTTTACTAACCCTCTAAGTCAAGTGTACATACTTTTTGTGATGACAGTAATTTGCCAACTTACCAACATGCAACAAAGTCATCTGCTGTGTACATGTACGGACGGCAGTATCCGCTCCAGCATTTATAAGTAACTCTAAGAAACGACTATCGTGCAAGACCGCATAATGGATGGGATAATACTCGTCTTTCAGTATATGAATCTCGTCCGCTCGAAGTGTGACTAGAAACTGAGTGCAACGCCAAGCGCCTCGTTCACACGCAGCATGTAAGAGAGGCTTGCGATTGCGAAACAGTCCGTTCTACAAAGCAATCAACAACAAACTAGAATTAGATGAATAATCAGGCTTAATACCCACGGATCACCACTCCGAAGCGATAACATCTCCAAAATTTCCACTTGATCTCCGTCTAGAGCGTAATATATGGCAGACTGAAGTTTTGGGGGACGATCACGATCGCGATCCATACAGTTGTCATCAGCATTAATATTAGCTGCGTTGATACTTTGGGTGAGAAACTTACAACAATTTCATCTAATTGTACTTACAATACTTTCCTCGATGTTCACAGTTATTGCTATGGGGTCCGGGCCAACACATTCTTGCCTCCACATCGATTTTGGCACCATGCTTTAACAGCAATTCCACGCACTCGCTGTACCTAAAAAGCACCAATATTAGCGCAAAAGCACGTAATTTAAGTGGCAATTAATTTATGAGTGTGCCAGAAAAGGTAGTTGCATCACCATGGAAAAGAACTAATTTTGACTTTATTGAGAATGTCAGAATAACCCCTAGAATAGCACAGGTCCTTAAAAAAATTGCTAAATATGTAATACGCAAGAGCATAAAAATTTTATTTACCGACAGCAATCCACCTGGAAAGAAAAATAAAAGCGTATTATTATTATTATTATATTAAATTCGCTTATTTGGCATAGAACGAAATGCAACTGTTGAATACCAGTTCCATGGTATACCAGTTCCTAAATTCCTCTTAATGATGATTGTAAAAGTTTATTTGCGGAACTAGAACCGGGACGCCGTCATGGATTTTGTGACGTCACAAGTCCCGCCCATTGTCTTATCTTGTTTGGTTCTTATCTTGGCTAAAGTACAATGGGTTCTTATCGTAACTTCGTGTCGTTTGAATTTTGGCTAGAGTAAGAGGGGTTTTAGGCAACATCTTGTGTGGGTGGTACCTAGGGTAAGGCGGATCAATGTGGATTTTTCTTGTTCCTTTCACAGCTGCTGTACTTTATTGTCATAGCGAGATGTTGGCAAGTTTCGGAAACGTGGTCTATGATGCTTTCAGGATTTGATTATTTCTGAAAATGTTGAATAATTTGGAAATTTCACCCGGCTATTTCAGTGAGCATAAATACCGGTAGCTAATCAGAGTTGTTGCAGAAAACCTCGTCTGATTAGATTGTGTTTAGTATCATCAGAAGTGCGCTAATTAATCATAAATTTTAAGACTAGTCCCAGCTTTCTCGCCAGATTTTTACGGTGATCGGAAGCCGAGAATTAACTAAAGAAGTTTTCATTTTTGAGCACATTGATACTAGTTAGTTTGGCTATATGAATTTTCCAGTCTTCCCTTGTTGCAAACTACCAAAAAAAATTTCACCTTTGAGCAATTGATGTAGGTGCATTTGAAAAAATATAGTTAGTGCACCTAGAGAATGATTCCTGGTGGTTTGTAGCAGACCACTTTAAGGGTGATCCAAGTGCAGACAGATTTTCATTTTATACATTTGAGTTTTTCTTAAAAGTGAACATGCAGTACAACTGTGCCCATGTTCAGTTAAAAAAACAAAAGAAAGTACATTACAGTCGCCAATTAAGTTGACATGTACTTTTTCAATTGCAACAACCTACATCAAGTTAGCAATAGATTCCAGCAATAGACCTTATTTCATATAAAATAATAAAATAAAGTTTGAAGTCACCTCAAATGGACTTGCACACATGAAGTTAAAAGTTTTTATAAAAATTTTTTTATTAATAATATTAGGGGTTGAAAGGGGGTTAAAAAATAAGGGTAACTTTGTTGGTACAGGTTTTTTTCCCATTTTTTAAAAAGTACAATAAACTTAAAGTGCAAGCACTATAATTGTCAAAATTTCAAAATGTAACCCCGCGCCGTTTTGGAAATAATTGATTTTTTCGGTTTTTTGCGGTTATTTATTGCTAGGGGTGTAATTTGTGTGGTGCATCAAATATTTTTGTTTTCAGTTATGATTTTTTAATAGTGGTCTAATAGTAGTCTAATGTCCAAAAATAAAAATGTAACCCCGCGCCGTTTTGGAAATAATTAATTTTTTCTGTTTTTTGCGGTCATCTATTGCTAGGGGTGTAATTTGTGTGATGCATCAAAGATTTTTGTTTTCAGTTATGATTTTTTAATAGTGGTCTAATAGTAGTCTAATGTCCAAAAATAAAAATGTAACCCCGCGCCGTTTTGGAAATAATTAATTTTTTCTGTTTTTTGCGGTCATCTATTGCTAGGGGTGTAACTAATGTGGTGCATCAAATATTTTTGTTTTCAGTTATGATTTTTATTATATGGTCTAATAGTAGTCTAATGCCCAAAAATAAAAATGTAACCCCACGCCGTTTTGGAAATAATTGATTTTTTCGGTTTTTTGCGGTTATTTATTGCTAGGGGTGTAATTTGTGTGGTGCATCAATATGGTCTAATAGTAGTCTAATGCCCAAAAATAAAAATGTAACCCCGCGCCGTTTTGGAAATAATTAATTGTTTCTGTTTTTTGCGGTCATCTATTGCTAGGGGTGTAATTTGTGTGGTGCATCAAAGATTTTTGTTTTCAGTTATGATTTTTTAATAGTGGTCTAATAGTAGTCTAATGCCCAAAAATAAAAATGTAACCCCGCGCCGTTTTGGAAATAATTGATTTTTTCTGTTTTTGGCGGGTATTTATTGCGAGGGGTGTGATTTGTGTGGTGCATCAAATATTTTGTTTTCAAGTTATGATTTTTATTTATGGTCCTAATAGTATTCCCTAATGCCCAAAAATAAATGTAACCCCACGCCGTTTTGGAAATCATTAATTTTTTCTGTTTTTTGCGGTCATCTATTGCTAGGGGTGTAACTAATGTGGTGCATCCAATATTTTTGTTTTCAGTTATGATTTTTATTATATGGTCTAATAGTAGTCTAATGCCCAAAAATAAAAATGTAACCCCACGCCGTTTTGGAAATAATTGATTTTTTCGGTTTTTTGCGGTTATTTATTGGGAGGGGTGTAATTTGTGTGGTGCATCAAATATTTTTGTTTTCAGTTATGATTTTTATTATATGGTCTAATAGTAGTCTAATGCCCAAAAATAAAAATGTAACCCCGCGCCGTTTTGGAAATAATTAATGTTTTCTGTTTTTTGCGGTCATCTATTGCTAGGGGTGTAACTAATGTGGTGCATCAAATATTTTTGTTTTCAGTTATGATTTTTATTATATGGTCTAATAGTAGTCTAATGTCCAAAAATAAAAATGTAACCCCACGCCGTTTTGGAAATAATTGATTTTTTCGGTTTTTTGCAGTTATTTATTGCGAGGGGTGTAATTTGTGTGGTGCATCAAATATTTTTGTTTTCAGTTATGATTTGTATTATATGGTGTAATAGTAGTCTACTGTCCAAAAATAAAAATGTAACCCCACGCCGTTTTGGAAATAATTAAATTTTTTCTATGTTTTGCGGATATTTATTGCTAAGGGTGTAATTTGTGTGGTGCATCAAATATTTTTGTTTTCAGTTATAATTATTATTATATGGTCTAATAGTAGTCTAATGCCCAAAAATAAAAATGTAACCCCGCGCCGTTTTGGAAATAATTGATTTTTTCGGTTTTTTGCGGTTATTTATTGCTAGGGGTGTAATTTGTGTGGTGCATCAAATATTTTTGTTTTCAGTTATGATTTTTATTATATGGTCTAATAGTAGTCTAATGCCCAAAAATAAAAATGTAACCCCGCGCCGTTTTGGAAATAATTGATTTTTTCGGTTTTTTGCGGTTATTTATTGCGAGGGGTGTAATTTGTGTGGTGCATCAAATATTTTTGTTTTCAGTTATGATTATTATTATATGGTCTAATAGTAGTCTAATGTCCAAAAATAAAAATGTAACCCCACGCCGTTTTGGAAATATTTAATTTTTTCTATTTTTTGCGATCATCTACTGCTAGCTAGGAGTGTAACTTGTTTGGTGCATTTGTTGCATTGATTATCTCGTATATTAAAAGGCCATATCAACGTTTAGGAGACTTAGAGAAGTATTGATGCGAATCTATTAATTATAATGATCAGTGCATATATGTTTCAATAATTTTGCCCGGCGTCTAGGTGCGTAACTGTATAAGCGATTAATTTCATTGCAATTGTAAATATACGTAACAGTGACATAATTTTAACTTGAATTACTATACCTACCTTTTTTGCTGTACACAAAAATAAATCACGCTAATAGCTTGTCTGCCGTCCCGTTTTCCATCTCGAATTACTAGACTCAAACTACTAATAAAAAATTTATTAATTTGCAAATTTAGAAAAAGGAAATGGAATAAGAGCGCTTCTTGTTAGATTGTACACAATTACTGATATAACTAAAAACAAAAATATTTGATGCACCACACAAATTACACCCCTCGCAATAAATAACCGCAAAAAACCGAAAAAATCAATTATTTCCAAAACGGCGCGGGGTTACATTTTTATTTTTGGACATTAGACTACTATTAGACCACTATTAAAAAATCATAAATGAAAACAAAAATATTTGATGCACCACACAAATTACCCCCCTCGCAATAAATACCCGCCAAAAACAGAAAAAATCAATTATTTCCAAAACGGCGCGGGGTTACATTTTGAAATTTTGACAATTATAGTGCTTGCACTTTAAGTTTATTGTACTTTTTAAAAAATGGGAAAAAAACCTGTACCAACAAAGTTACCCTTATTTTTTAACCCCCTTTCAACCCCTAATATTATTAATAAAAAATTTTTTATAAAAACTTTTAACTTCATGTGTGCAAGTCCATTTGAGGTGACTTCAAACTTTATTTTATTATTTTATATGAAATAAGGTCTATTGCTGGAATCTATTGCTAACTTGATGTAGGTTACTATTCGATAAGTGTAACGAAAAAAAAACAAATTTATTACCTGAAAAGAATTTTTTCACTACACCCAGTAGATTAGTAACATTCCTTCAAGTTTTATTAATATAGTTCGATCTTAATACTAATGTTGGATCCGAAATGCGATTTACATACTTAACACGTTCTGCTTAAAGCTTTTTTCAAGTTACCCAACCAGGTGTATAAATTCAGAGTCGAGTTCAGAGTAACTAATTAGGTAACTAAAAACAAATATGTCGTGATGATGATTGGTTAGTTGTGGAAAAATCTTTTAAAATTTAACGCGATAGTACCTATACATACTACGAATTTCATTGTCGCCTACACTTTTCCCCTTCATTATAGTTCCTGCTGTCCTCAATATGTGCATAGTTTTTAACACGTGCAGAGAACTAGTTAATAGAAAAATAGGCAAAAAATGCGTACCTAACACATAATTGCGAACACGGTACTACCACGTGATTCAATCTCGCAAACTAAACGTAATAACTAATATTTCAACATTCCTAACATTAAGCTTAGAAAAAATGTCCGTGTATGT